GGCCAGGCAGAGAGCGGCCTCTGCTCATCGCGGGGCCTTGCAGAATCAGGACAGGCCTTGGCACAGGGCCCAGTGCCTTGCTGAGCGATTGCTCCAAGCCCTGCTCACAGACCTGCCTCAAGGAAGGAGCCCTGGCATACAGAGAGGAAGCTAGGGCCCCTGCCGTGCACATGTGGTGCGGGCCCTGCTCACAGCGTGTGACACCCACAGATGCAGCAGATGTACGACATGATCATGCAGCACAAGCGTGCAATGCAGGACATGCAACTGCTGTGGGAAAAGGCCCTGCAGCAGCACCAGCACGGCTACGACAGCGATGAGGAGGTGGATAGCGAGCTGGGTACCTGGGAGCACCAACTGCGGCGCATGGAGATGGACAAGACTCGGGGTGCGCCAAGGCATTGGGCTGGCGACAGGTCTGGGGGTGGAGCTGGATGGCACAGGAAGCCCCACTCACCTCTTGGCCTAGAAGGCCTTGGGTATAAGACTTCGCCTCTTTGTGCCTCAGTTTCCTCAGTAGTAAAAGGAATGGTGCAGGGCTGCCCTGGGGGAGTAGGGCTCAAGTCAGGGCCTCCACCAGCTGCCTCCCTTCACCACAGCCACTCCCCCCTTCCTTCTTTTACCTTTGCTACCTCTCTGGGCAGAATGGGCTGAGCAGCTGACGAAAATGGGCCGGGGCAAGCACTTCATCGGAGATTTCCTGCCACCAGATGAGCTGGAGAAGTTCATGGAGACCTTCAAGGCCCTAAAGGTGAACGGGGAATTCCCAGGCATCAGCCCTGCTGTAGGCCTGTCTAGCAGGCAGCCTCCTCACACACAGGAGGAACCAGGCCCCCTTCCACGGGAGGCATCTGTTCTGTTCATGGCAGACTTGTTCGTTTGGGAAATTCACAAATAGCTCAGCTGCCACTTTAGAAACATTTCCCAGGGCTTTGGGAAATCCTGCTTCCAGTGGAGCCAATTAAGTGCAGTGTACAGGCAAAGCGTTTCTCAGGCACAAGTACCCACAGACTGGGCTCAGAACAAGAGCTCAACATTGCTCCTATGCACATGGAGAGACAACTGACGGGCACCAAGCCCCATCACCTAGTTGACCATTCCTGCTTTTTCACACTTCGTGTAAAAATCGCCCTTGAAACCTGGGCTTTTCCTTGTAGGTGAACCATTAATCTTATCTGTGGTAGAGGAGGCCCTTTTTGACTTGGTTGCTAGGGTGCACTAAGCGTGATCATGGGAGCCCTGAAGAGGAGGAGCTTGGTCTGAGGTTGGGGGTAGATGGTCCCAGCCAGTGGCCATTGGGGCCATGGGGGACATGTTTTGGGTCCTGGGGGATGACAGCTCTCTGGCCCTGCAGGAGGGCCGTGAGCCCGACTACTCTGAGTACAAGGAGTTCAAGCTGACCGTGGAGAACATTGGCTACCAGATGCTGATGAAGATGGGCTGGAAGGAGGGTGAAGGGCTAGGCTCAGAGGGCCAGGGCATCAAGAACCCAGTCAACAAGTGAGTGTGGCCCTTCGTGCAAGGTGGGGGTAGAGGTGGTCCCAAAGAGAGACACAGGCCCAGGGCCCAGGTCTAGTCCTGTTCCTGGGCCAGAGTTGGGCCGAGCCGTGAACTCTGGATGGCAAGCCCAGCGTGGGCTCCTCCCACTTCCCACAGTGCAGGGCATGTGCCACATAGATGTTCCCCAGCCCAGCAGAGCCTGCATGGCCCCCTCAGCCCCACTTTGAGCTGCTGCTGCTTCTGAGCCTAGGCAGGCATGCGGGCTCGGCTCTTCTGCCCCCGCTCAGGCCCGACCTTCGCGCTCCTGCTGGCACCAGCCTGATGCCCTGCTCCCATTCCCCCATCACCCTCTGTAGGGGCACAACCACAGTGGACGGTGCTGGCTTTGGCATTGACCGGCCAGCAGAGCTTTCTAAGGAGGATGACGAGTATGAGGCCTTCCGCAAGAGGATGATGCTGGCCTACCGCTTCCGGCCCAACCCCCTGGTGCGTGTATTCCTATCCCCTACATTGCTCTGACTGGGCAGCTGGCTCCACACTGTCCACAGTAGTGAGGTGGCAGTGCCGGTAACGGAAGTGTCCCTCCTTCCGCAGTCCAGCTAGGCCAGGTCTCATCAGCAACCACCACTCCACCTGCATTTGAGCCCTTTCCTCCTCCCCAAAGCCTGTCCTCCCATCTCCAGGACGTTAGCTCAGCCACCCCTAGAAGGTTTTGGATGGCAGGAACTGCCATCTGCCCTCAGCATTAACTTGCTCCCCTTTTATCTTTGTTGCCTCCCGCAGAACAACCCCAGACGGCCTTACTACTGAGTATTCTGGAGAAACACACGCACGTACTTTCCAGACAACCCACCGAGCGTTCTTGGACTGTGGAATGTTTCAGACTGCGTTTCTGCCTGCCCTTCCCGTTGTTTTGAGTGTTGTGCTATGTATTAAAGTCCCAGTGCTTGCCCACTGTGGGAGCCTGGTTGTGCCATCACCAGAAACCCCTCATGTTCCTCAGCGGCTGGGCTGGGCTGGGTAGATGAGGCTGAGCTGCTGTGTGAGGATACCACCTAGACATTTGTCTAGCCATCGGGTCTCCATCCTCCATCAGCCTTGGTTGGAGTTGAGGGGAGGGCCACACCTGGGCCGGGGTGGTGGGGGCCCCCGGGCAGGGCCCAGGCTTCCCTGGCCCTCACCTGTGCTGCTGCCCCGCCCCACCACCAGCAGGTGGCCTCCCCTGCCAGTGCTGCTGCAGTCCGGGCTGCCCCAGCTGCCCCGGGTCCCGCCTGTGTGGTAAATATATGTGCCTGTGACGCATGCCACTGTGGGAGAGCTGCATGCTAAGATGTCACCTCCTGGAGGATAGGAGGTGGGTGGATAGCCTGGGCCAAGGTGTCTGAGAGCTACCCATGTCTACAGAGCCAGCACCTCACATCTGTGCAGAAATACTCGGGGATCTTGTCCAGTTGCAGCCATTCTTGAAGTATCAGAACCTCGGTATTTGAGGGTCCCACTCCTGTCCCACACGTGCACCCAGTAGGTTCTGCTCAACCCCTGTAGGCTCATGGGCTTGACTCAGCAAGTTGGGCTCCTGGGCCAGCTAGTGTTCACACAGTCACTCAGCAAGCAGGGCACCAACTGAATCAGATGGGGATGTGGCATTGAACCGAACAATCTCATCAACGTTGCCAGGAGGAACTGGGAGCTGTGGCGAAGGTGCAGTGGCAGGGTCTCAATGGGGGCTTCAGAGACTGGGCGGGCCTCAGCAGCGGAACACAGGCTGGGTGACGTGCTGAGGCAGGGCAAAGAAGCATTCAGTGCCAGGGCTTTCCCCAGCACAGAGGAGTATCTGTGGGCAGTCAGAGGCTCCAGCAATCAGGGCTCCGAGCCTTGGTCCCATGTATCCCACTGCGCAGGTCAAGGTCACCATTACATTGAATTCTCAGTGACTGGGAGGCTGGCCAGACTCAGCTCATGGACTTTACCCCTATGCACAGGTAGAGCTGCCTGCCCTGATACGGCCTCCAAATACTCTGTGTGTGCACAGACGCCTTCAGACCGGGGTGCAAGGCCAGGTCCCCAGACAGCTGGACTAGACGCCCCTGGCCTTGCAGGTGGCAGGGAGTGCAGCTTGGAGGAGGGGACAGAGGAATCTGTTTTAAGAGGTGAGGGAATGCAAGAGGGCCCATTCTGCTTACAGGGAAGAGGCCTGCAGGCTTTTGGCACTGCCAGAGTTGGGCAGGTCAAGAAACCAAGCTGGAGCTTCAGGTCAGCCCAGAGGAACCTGGGGAAAGCCAGATGATGTCACCCAGGCTCAGACAGACATAGGACCCAGCTGGCACAAGGCCAAGGGGCTGCAAGGAGAAGGGGGAGGTCTTCAATCATTCCCCAACTACAGATGCGCCTCCCACTTTGGGAGTAAGGAATTGGGTGGGCACTAACTCACCCATTTCCAGCAGCCGTAAGCACTGCATGGCTGAGAGCCTGAGGCTGGTTGGAGGGAGTGACAGACACCTGTCTCCCGCCCTGCAGCCCTCTCCCACGTCCATCTCCCCCTGGACCCAGCACAGCCTCCAGGCTCTTCAGAAGCCTCGCAAAGTTCCCCACCTCCCAGTCCCAGGCCTGAGCTATTGCCAGGAACGCTGTTTGCTGTTCGGGAACGAATTTCTCACCAGTCCTCACCTGAGCTCAGCCTACCCCTTGGGCCCTCTCCTCCTGACACCCTCCTCAACCCCCCTCACTTGAGCAGCCTCCCTCCACCTCCTGCCTCCCAACTCCCCCCCACCCAACTGCCCACAGGGTGTCCAGACTATATGGAAGGATCCCAGCACAGAGTCAGTCCTTTAAGGGTCCCAACCCAGGGCCCATAGCCGCCTCCCCTGATGTGGCCCCAGGCTGTAAAAGCTTCACACTTTGACAGGTGGTCCAAATGTGTCTGTGACCCCCGAGTGAAAATTCAAATCCAAGGGCACTGAAAGGAACTGCATCCTAGCAGTGAGGTTGGTTCCTCCTTCAGCATGCACAGACGCCACCCACTTGATCCTGCGCTCGGGAAGGAGGACTGGGGAATGTGGGGCGGCGGAGCGCGGGGGCTGGCGGGGGGGGGGGGGGGGGGGGGGGGGCGGTACTTCGAGGCTGAGACGCAGGTGCCTTAGAATGAAGAAACTTGGAGAGAACAGGAGAGGAGAACAACTCGCTCAGAATGAAGTTGCTGGCTCGGGATCTCCAGGATGCAGGCGTCACGTTCTACTCTTTAATAGAGAGGGAAACTGAGGCTGGGCAGCAGGGACGGCCACTGGGGACCGCTCTGAGTCTAGCAAGGGTGTCGAGGAGGTAGGGCCAATGCGAGAGAGTGGGGTCTCGGAGGCTCCCCAGGAGCTTGCTGGACGGACCACGCAGTGACAGGACCAGGGCGCAGCTGGGGGCGACCTTTGCGCGGGGCGGGGCTGGGCAGCGTCGCTGGCAACCTCCTGCCCAGACGCGTTGCCGCTGTCGCTGCTGCGGAGGAATCCGGCTTCCTGGAAGTCGCGTGGCCAGAGCCGGGGTCCTGGGGGCCAGGCACTGCTGCTATGGACATCCCGCCGCTGGCGGGCAAGATCGCGGCTCTGTCGCTTGGCGTCGTTCCTGTGTCCTACGTGCTCAACCACGTCTCGGAGCTCTCTCAGTGCGTGCGGGGAGACCGTGGGATGGCGGGCTGCGCTAGGGGGTGAGGAGGGGGCCAGAGAGGATGCGCGCTGGCTGAGCCTGGCTCCCAGTGAGCCCTGCGCCCCCAGCCTTTTGGATCGGGGCAGGGGGTGGGGCCTGAGTCCGAAACCCCAGCCGGAAGTTCTTTTCCCGCTGGTCCCGAGGCTGTGTGCTGCGGCGGATGGGGTCACCTCCTGGGATGTTTGGAGCCTGGGGAGAAGGGACGTTGAGAAGCAGAGTCCCCCAACAGGGCAGGGTTTTGGAGCGTTTCTTGGTTTTTTTCAGAGATGTGCCCAGCACAGGCTCCAAAGTCGCTAAGGGTCAAAGTATTGCCCCAGATAAGGCCCTGGTGAGCGGGCTCTTGCCACACACCTTCGGCTGCACTACCTCTACCAGGTAGTCCCTCCATCTCCTGTTAAAGGCCTGGGGCTTCCTTCTTCTCAGGGCTGGCCCACCCTGCTCCTAGCCTCAATTTCTCCATACATGCCTGAACTCCCCTGGCCCTGACTCCTAATCTTAGACCCTAGTCCTGTGGATCTAGTAGTCACTGGGTACCAGGCATCGGCCAAGCCCCTCACACTCCTTAACCCAGCTCAACCCGAGATGGGAGTAGAGAGAGTCTTAAATGTGGGGTTGGCTCCTTGGGTACAAATTCCTGGCTCCATCCCCACAGACCTCAAGTATTTCCAGATTGCCTTTGGGAGCCTCAGTTTCTTCACTGTGTAATGAATGTGATTCTAGATCTCAACCCATAGTTACAGTTAAGGACAATAAATCATATGCAAAGACTCTGGTTACTATCATTGTCATTGCTGGTCAGATCGGGTCAGGAATGGGGATCCTAGTGGTTATAGGGGTCCCAGAGAAGGTACGGGCCTAGAGAGGGCGGTGGAGGAGGAGAGCATGTGTGACCTCGGAAGGGTCTCCTGCCTTCCCTGGGTCTTGCCAAATATTGGGGGCTGCCCAGAGACTTGACTTTTATTGTCTATGCAATTGATTGACCTGCCTTATCTGGTTGATGGGGACAGATCAGGGTAGGGGTAGGGTGGGGTTGATGGAAGCATTTGGACTTTAGCTGGGAGGAGTCAGGCCTTCACACAGTGAGGCTTATAGATCTGAGCACTGGAGACCAGCTGGCAGGTGCGGGCACTGGGTCTGCCTGCAGAGGGGCCTCAGTGCTGAGCAACTGAGCAAACTGAGTCAAACAGAAATCATAGAGTCAGAACGGGTTGATCAGAGGGGTTGACAGATGCCCCCTCTATACCTGGCCCAAGTCCAGCAATCATCTTTTCTTTAAAAAAAAAAAAAAAAAAAAAAGTTTATTTATTTAGACAGAGGGGATGGGAGGCGGAAAGAAAGGAAGGGAAACATCAATGTATGGTTGCTTCCCAGCATCCCCCATTGGGGACCTGACCTGGCCCACAACCCAGGCATGTGCCCTGACTGGGACTCTGATTGACAGGCCAATGCTCAGTCCACTGAGCCGCATCAACCAGGGCACAATGATCCTTTCTAAGAAGTCAGGGGAAGCTGGAGGAGGAGCAATGTCGATGGGCCATGAAGGATGAGTAGAAGTTTGCTAAGTAGAAAAGAGATTCCTGGAGGCAGTTTCCAGGAGGAGGAACAGCTGGGAAAAGAGCCTGGTGATGGGAAAGGGCAGTTTGAAGGAAAGGCATTTCTGAATGGACAGAGCTTCCGCCTCATCACCTGGAGCTTTGGGAGTCCACTCTTGCCCTCACCAGGGTAGAGTGGGATCTCAGCACTGGGTCTGGCTTCCCTGACTTGGTTTTCCTCTTCACAGACCCCTTGGGGTGACCTTGATGAGCGCCCTGATCCTGGGCCTGCTCTTTGTGACTATCTATAGCTTGTCCCGCAGGGAGATCTGCTACGACCCACTCTATGCTGGTGAGTCAGTGGGAAGGTCCTAGGGAAGAGACCTGTGTGAGCAAGGGCTTCTCTATCACCCTGGGGGTCCTTGAAGGGACTCCTCCATCAGACTGGGGAGCCCTTGAAGGGATCACATCAGACTGGAGACTCCGCATTGATTGGGGGAACTCAGAAGCCCTCCTGCTCAGACTTGGGGCTCCTGAGATCAGGGACTATCTTTCCATCACTCTGGGGTCTCCTAAAGGCAGGAGCAGTGCCTCTCCCAGCCCGGGAATCCCAAAGGCAGGGACTGTGCCTCCCCTTGAGACAAGGTTGTGGTTCATGTGACCTGTGGAGTGGGGACTGGGAGCAGTTGGGCACAGTCATTGACTGGATCTGGGTCCCTGGCACAGCCCCAGGCCCCGCCCATACCCAGGCCTGTCCTGAACACTCTCCCCGCAGTGTTTGCAGCCTTTGCCTTCACCTCGGTGGTGGACCTCCTTATCGCTCTCCAGGAGGATGGCTACATGGCGGGCTTCATGGAGTTCTACACCAAGGAAGTATGTAAGGGTTGGTTGGGGATGCCCCCTGCCTGGCTATGTGTCTGAGCCCTGCACCCACCCCCACAGGGTGAGCCATACCTGCGTACTGCTCATGGAGTCTTCATCTGCTACTGGGATGGCATCGTTCACTACCTCCTTTACCTGGCCATGGCCGGTTCCATCTGCAGAAGGTGTGAAGGGTGGGCAGGGAGGCACCTGGACCCTGGGAAACAGGTCAGGTGTTCAAACGGGGTCTTCAACTGGGATGGAGCCACAGTGTCTGCAGGGGAATCAGGGGGACTCTCTAGGGCTCCAGCCAGGTGTAGCCAGAAGAAGGTTCTGAGGAATATCACTGGTGACAGTGGTGGTTGGCTCTCTTCTCTCGTACCACCCTGTGCCTGGGCAGTCACTTCTGGGCAGAGGGTCTGACTGTTTATTCCTTCATTCAACTTCCTGTTGTCCCTTTCATCTTGGGCACAACTGGGAAGAACCCAGAGCTGGGGGGCCTAGTATGCACCCTGGGCCGTGGCTGGTGCTCTGAAACTGGAGATGGGTATCTACTGGCCCTTCCTTCATCCCCCACCCAGGAAAAGGTATCGGAACCTTGGACTGTACTGGCTGGGGTCCTTCGTCATGAGCCTCCTGGTGTTTCTCCCCGGAAACATTCTTGGTAAGGACTTGGCTTTGAGGAATCCTGCCTCCCCAGGGTCACTGTTCTGTGCCTGGAAGCCCCCACTGGGTCCTCCACCCCCTCCCCAAGGTCTGCAGAGGGCCCCGCATGCCGGTTCACGCACGGCCTAAGCCAGCAACCTGCCCACCTCTCCCCATTTTCTTTTGGAGGGGCGTTTCCCAGGGGAACCAAGAACAGCTGAAGTGTAGGAGCTGTGTCCAAAAGGTAAATTGAAGCAGGCCAGTTTGAGGAGCATGGACATCATCGTGTAGGCACTGGGGAACCAGATATGTTAAGGCTTGAGCAGGCAGGAAAATAAAAAGAAGAAGAAGAAGAAGGAAATCTTGAGCAAGCATGGCCTCTGTGAATCATGACCTCCATCCAGGGGCTCTGGCGAGGCCCGCCTACCTAAAGGGCCCAGCCAGGCCTGGCAGAGCCTCACTGAGTGCCACACATCACTCCATGACAGGGAAATACAGCTTCGAGTTCAAGCCTACCTTCTTCCTCACCCTCCCATACGTGCTGGTCCCATGCTGGGTTGGTGTGAAGATCTTCAGCCAGTCCCGGTCACCAACCTGCTGCACCCCCAACATGGTAATAAACTTGCCCTCAGGCGGGCCCGGGCCCACTTATCTCACTGTTCCCCCATTTGAGTTGATCCTGGTCAAAAACATTATCTCTTTGGAAGGATCTCCTTTGTCATTAGGAAAGAAGAGATGAGCCTCTATGGAGTGCCTGTTGGATAGCAGACATCTCACAAGTCTCTCTCCCGTGGGGCAGGTGCAAGAGGAGCAAAGAAAAGGCCTTTTGCAGCGCCCGGCTGACCTGGCCCTCGTCATATACCTCATCCTTGCTGGGTCCTTCACCCTCTTCCGGGGCCTTGTGAGTCCGGTTAGCCCACCCTTTAGTCTGCCTTTAGTCTTCCGCCCCAGGCTTCCCTTCCCACATACGTTCCTTCACTCAGTGCACAAGGGCTGCTGCTCTCCCATCTGATCATCAGAGAAGTTTCTCCTTGAGTCTTTAATGAGTTCTTCATTGAGTGTTTCATCATGAAGCCCCATTCCCTGTAGCCTCTCCGGCTCCAGTATCTGTGGGTTCTCAGTCAGAGGAGAGAATTCAGGCTGGGGAAGGCCAGAGTAAGGGACGTGGGTACTGCCTGGGACGATGGGGAAGCTTTCCTGTGGGAGGAGTGCTTGACGTGGGTCGTTGGTTTTTCTTTTGGCCCCAGGTGGTGCTTGACTGCCCCACAGACGCCTGCTTTGTGTACATCTATCAGTATGAACCATACCTGCAGGACCCTGTGGCCTATCCAAAGGTGCAGGTAAGAAGGCAGGCGGGAAGAGAGGACCGTGATCCTGCCATCCATAGGGGTCCGCTGGGCCTCTCTGAAGCAGGTGCCAAAAACACAGGTCAAACTGGCAGAAGCACATATGGAATTATTGTCCTACAAAAAAAGTATAGACATAGTCTCAGGTATGGCTAGATCCAGGAATTCAAAGAGAATTCTGTCTCTGGGCTCTGTTTTCTTTGCATGGGCTCCACTCCCAAACGGTTCCTTTGCGGCATGGCAGAGAGAGCCTTTGATAGCTCCAGGCTTCCTTCTGCCCTACTTAGCCACCCCAGGGGAATGTGAGCCTTTATTTCCCCACAGCTTAAGCACAAGTCTCAGGCAGGCTCTGGCCTGGCCAAGTTTGAATCACATGCCCATCATGTAGCTGATCATTGTGGCCAGGGTTCTGTGGGTGGGCTCAGTGTGAGTATGGGAATATGCGGGGGCGGGGGCGCTGTTGCACAAATGAAATAGAGGTGCAGGTTGCACAGAGTAGGATATACAACAAGCCTCTATCCTGTGTGGGGCCTGAGGCTGGCCAGGTCCTCCCAGGGGCCCCCACTGGAGGGGCCTCAGGAGACCCATCTGGGGCAGCTGCTCATCCCCATTGGCTGTGTGCCCCCCAGATGCTGGTGTACATGTTCTATGCATTGCCCTTCTATGGCCTGGCTGCCTATGCCCTTATCTTTCCTGGCTGTTCCTGGCTGCCTGACTGGGCCTTGGTGTTTGCTGGAGCCATTGGCCAGGTAAGATGGGGTGGGGTTGGGTGGGGCAGGTACATAACGAAGGAAGTTTCTGCCTACCCATCAATTGCTTTTGTGCTCTCCCTGGACAGAGGGATGCTGGGCCCCTGAGAGGCCGCAGCCTCAGCTCGGTAACCCCAGGATTCCCTAGCCTGGGGGAGAAAGAACTGGACACAAACCCCCACCCCCGCGGGGTCAGAACTGAGGGTAGGGAGGGACAGAGACTGAGAGGGATTCCAGAGGGGGCAGGTTTCTTGGAGGAGGGGGCATAGGAACTGGGCTTAGACATATGGCTATGAGCTCTCCAGGCAGGAAAGGGAATTCCAGGAATGGGAACAGCATAAGGAAAGGCACAGAGTGGGCAGTGATTTAGCAGAGCCATAACACGGGTAAGGGCAGAAGCAAGAGAAGTTGGCAGCTAGAGGCTGAGGGCTTTGAACTCTTACCTTGGGGGCCTTGTGTATAGAAAGAATGGGAAGCCATGGGAGCAGTGGAGGACCCAGTCAGAGCTGGGGACCCGTTTCTGGGTTCCTGATGGGCTATGATAAAGGCTGGGCCCAGGTCAGAGCAGTGGGGACCAAGAGGACATCTATGGGGTAGAATCAACAGGATTTGTGTCAAGGGCAGCTGCCTGGGGTGGGGAAGAGCTGGACCCAGATCAGAGAGATGGGGTGCAGGGTCCAGCAGATAGAGTGAGCATGGTTCTGGTTAGGCACTTGGAGAGAGGTTCGCAGACAGATGTACAAGGACAGGCAGAACCTGTGGGGACAGGGATATTTAGAGACAGGTAGGTCAGCAGAGCCATCAAGATGGGGACAGGGACACTCTGGGCTCCCCAGGGTGAGCTGTTGGTGATCCTGGGATGGTTCTCTCCCAGCCCCTGACATCCATGCTCCCTGTGTGCCCACCAGGCGCAGTTCTCGCACATGGGTGCCTCCATGCACCTGCGCACACCCTTTACCTATCGCGTGCCAGAGGACACCTGGGCCTGCTTCTTCTTGTGCAACCTGCTGTATGCGCTGGGCCCCCACCTGCTGGCCTACCGTTGCCTGCAGTGGCCGGCTTTCTTCCTGAACCTGCCCTCTGGCTCCCAGGCTCTCCACAAGAAGCAGCTCTGAGGGGACCATGGGGTTCCCCAGGACTCCATTAATACACCCAGCCAGCCCTGTCCTTAGAAGGGTAGGTTGGGTTTTTTAGAGGCAGGAGCTGTCTTTGTTCCTGGCTATGGTGGTTTCAAGGCTGGCTGATGGGATGGAAGACCCAAGGCCAGGTGTTCAGGCGGAGAGGACCACAGCCGTGCTAAGCTGGCACTGCTCCCAAACATCTACGGCTTTTCCTACTCCCTTGCAGAGTTTACCCATTACCCCCATGGATCCCTTTATTAAAAGCTCTTCTGATGCCTCACGTGTTGCTGTCTGAGTGTTTCAAGGGGGAGGGGTGAGGGACTGTCTTCTCAGACCCCACGAAGGCCCACCGTCCGTGTCCGTGCAACTATCCAGAGCTGAAGGGGCCAGGCAGCAAAAGTCTGCCTCCGGTCCGTGTGCAGCCCCGCTTTCCAGATGGGGACACAGGGGCTCGGAGAGGATCAGAACCTGCCTGAAGTCACAACTGGGAGAAGAGTCCGAAGTCCTGTTTCTGCCAATAAATTATAATAATTAATAGTGTGGCACAGTTATTAAGCACCTACTGCTTACCATGCCAAGGGCTAACCTCACATGCTGTACGATATGCTGGATCTCACCCCATATTCCAGACGGGGAAGCTAGGACTGCAGGAGGTGAAGGTCCTGGTCTGAGATCACGCCTCGTGGAGCAGCTGAGCTAAGAACAGAGCCCTGGCCACTTAAACCACAGAGCTCATAACCCTGTCTCTGCTGTCTGGTTGGCTCATACCTTGGGGATGCAGCCTGGAGGGGAGGGCAGCCTAGGGGGTGGGGGAAGAGCTCATTTTTTTCCTGATTTGATTATTGAACCTGAATGAAGGTCCAGCTTCAGGGGTGAGAGACCCAGAGTGGGGTCAGGGGCTTAATCAGGCTCCCCTGCTCCTCATCCCTGCCAACGCTTATTAGGCACCGAATGTGTGTTTAGTCTTTGGATCTTCACTGAAGAATCAGTACTCCATTTTCCAGAGGTGAAAACAGGTTCAGAGAGACCAAGCTCCCCTTCGAGGTGCCAAAGTGGGTGAGGGGCAGCGTTGGATTTGGATTTGTTGCCACGTAAGTGGGTGACCGCGCAGAGTGAGCACCTTTTCAGTGCCAGAGCCCAGGACAACGGGGTGGTCTCCCAGTGACAACAGGAAAACAGACCTGCAGGCTTAGCCCTTTTTCCAGGTTACTCAGCCCCCCTGCCCATGCGGGGCATCTAAGATGGAAGACTCCATCAGGCCGCCCTCCTCCGTCTTAAAGATGATTAAACTGTGGCCCAGAGAAGTTCCTCCGCGGGCCCACAGTCAGCCAGCAAGGGCAGGGACCTGGTCCTGCCCTTGCTGTCCTGCGCGTTCTGTCCTCCGTCCGTGCGCGGGCTTCCTCTCCGCGGAGCGCTCCTCCACTTTCCCTTTAACATCCCCCTTCCCCCACCACCCAGTCCGCCTCTCTCCTCCCCTTGCAGGCAGTCGTCGGGATTGCGCCGCCTGCTGAGACCTGCCCAGTCCTTCCCGGGTGTGCCAGCAGCGCAGACCTGGAGTGTAGGGGCCGCTCGGTGGGGGCTGTACTAGCAGCATGGTGAGTGGGGCCGCGGCAAGGGTCCCGATAGGTTCTCTTTCTGGGATCCTGGCTCTGTCTCTACGTCCCTCCGTATTTCTCTCTCCAGTCTTTCTCCCATCCCTTCTCTCTCTCATCCTCCTTCTCGAACTCCTTGCCTCTTCTTCTGTATCCCTCTCCCTACCTTTCCCTCAATCTTTCTTTCCTGGTTTCTTTTCTCTCCCTGAGTCTGCCTGACTCTGGCTACCCTAATGTCTCCTTCTTCTCTGTTTCTCTCCTTCTTGCTCTCTCTCCTCTCTTCTTTTTCAGTATCTGTCACTCCCTCTGCATCTGTCTCTTTTTCTGCATCTCTGTCTCTCTCCTTTTCTTCCTCTTCTGGCTCTCCCCCCTACCCCCGCCCTCGCTCTCTCCTCTGTCTTCATCTCTCCCTGCTTTTCTCGCTGTGTCTCTTTCTTTTTTCTCTGGCCCTCTCTCTGTATCTCTCCTTCTCTCAACAACTCCCCCGCATCCACCCCCACCCCTGCCCCGGCCCGATTTGCTGCAGTCTCCTGGCGCACGGGTAACCTTGCTGCTGCCGCTGCTCCAGCTCCTCCCTCCTCCTCCTTCGCTCGGCCGAAGCCGGAGAGAGAAGGGGGCGGGGCTCGGAGCCGGCCGGTGCTGGGTTTAGGGGACCAGGTGGGACCAAGGGAGGGTGAGTTCCGCGGCTTGGGCTTTGCGCTAGAGCGAGGGTGTGAGGTCCCCGAGAGGGAATGGGGAGGGGTAATTTCGCCAGGCTTCTTGGGGAGTCCTTTGGGACCCTATGGGAGGAGGCCTGGGCACATGAGGAGTCCTTGCCACGGAGAACGAAAGCCAAGGGGCTAGTCCTCTGGAGCAGCGGTCCCCAACATTTTTGGCACCAGGGACCGGTTTCTTGGAAGACAATTTTTCCACTGACCGGTGAGGGGAGGGGGGATGATTTCGGGATGATTCAAGTGCATTACATTCAAGCTCATCTCCTGGTGTGCGGCCGGGTTCCTAGCAGACCACGGACTGGTACTGGTCCGAGGCCCGCAGGTTGGGGACCCCTGCTCTAAAGGCAAAGGCCAGGAGGTTGGACTGAGCGCCCGGTGCCCCCAGGTGTGGGCTCGGGCGGCCCTCAGTCCCTGTGCGCTCTGGGCTGCAGCCTGGGGAGTGTTGCTGCTCGTGGCCCCCGCAGGGGCGCAGCGGGGCCGGAAGAAAGTCGTGCACGTGCTCGGTGAGTCAGTGAGCTGTGTCCACGTGTGATCGCTGGGTGCATGGAGGGGGGAACAGGGAGGTCATGGGGTGTTCCTGACGGCTGCAGTTCCCCATCTCCTCCCCGTCCCGGTCTACTCCCTGAGCCCCTTTACCCATGTGATTTACCCCCACCCAAGTTTAATAACTACATCCCCTTCCAGGGTTCCCCTCCACAGGTTCCCTACCTCACCCCTAGGACCCTCTTCTGAACCCTCTTTAATTGCCCACAGAGGGTGAGTCGGGCTCGGTGGTGGTGCAGACAGCTCCTGGGCAGGTGGTCAGCCACCGGGGCGGCACTATCGTCTTGCCCTGCCGATACCACTACGAGGCAGCCACCCACAGCCACGACGGCGTCCGCCTCAAGTGGACTAAGGTGGTGGAGCCGCTGGCCTTTACCGATGTCTTCGTGGCGTTGGGCCCCCAACACCGGGCGTTTGGCAGCTACCGCGGGCGGGCCGAGCTACAGGGTGATGGTCCTGGGGACGCCTCCTTGGTTCTCCGAAATGTCACGCTGCAGGACTATGGGCGCTACGAATGCGAGGTCACCAATGAACTAGAGGATGACACTGGCATGGTCAAGCTGGACCTGGAAGGTGACCAGCCCCTGGGCAGGATGTGATGCATTTCTAAGGGAGGACAGGGGAGGGTATTGCAAAGAAGAGAAACCAAATCATTGGCCTGAAGGAATTTAGAGGCTTGGGTGGGGATAGTTTTGATTCAGGGTGATTTTTGCCATCGGGGGATACTGCAATGTCTAAAAGGGGGGTGCTGGTGGCATCTGGTGGATAAAGGCCAGGGGTACTGTGAAACATACCGCAAAGCACAGGACAGTTCCCCAGAGCAGAGGCTGATCCAGTCCAAAATGCCAATAGTGAGGATGCTGGGAAACCCTGGGGTAGGATTCAGGCACAGTGAGGACCAGGCACTCACACCATGCCAGGAATCGCCCCCTCAACTCTGCTTCCCTGGGTGGGCTTTCCTTTTGCAAGTTTCCCCTGATGGAACCAAAAATTCGAACCAGGCTTCCACCCTCGCAGCTTAGCAACTGACTTCCTAGGAGTGCTAGCTAGAGTCCCAAAGTTGTCCCTCATTGGGCCCAACTTTTGAAGCATGTGCCAATCTGGGAGCCAGTTACTGTGGCTGGGAGATGGGATGTTCTGAATGGCTGACTGTGGAGCTGGGAGGTGGGGTTTCTGCCCGGAGAATTCCCTCCCACCTGGTTTGCCTTCTTCGGTCATTTAGAAGATATTTAGAAAGATTTTAGGGCCTTTGCTTACTGAATATCCCAACAATAGCAAATAACAACACAATAATAGCAGCCATTTTCCTTTATTGGGTGTTTTCTATGTGCCAGGAGCTTGGTTAAAGAGCTCTCTGGAGTCTCTCGTTTAATTTTCCTAAAACCCCGGAGGGTGATTCAGCTGGCTTAAAGAGGTGAGAGCCTTTCCCAGGGCACATAGTAGTGATAGCAGAGCCAGGGCTTAAATCCTGGTCAGGCTCCAGGTCTTCTCCCTGGCTCCTGTTTGTCTCATTCCTGCCACTGCTGGGATTACCCAACTGACCCCTAAGGTCCACCCTTCAAACACAGACACACAGAACACTTAGGAGCTGAGTTGACTGTAAGTCTGATGAGGGGTGGGTTATAACAACTGACAGTGGAAAGGAAACCAACAGGTGCTGCCCTGGACGATGCTGGGGATCAAAGGGAGCTTTGCCCAGGGTCAACTTTTCAGGGGCTCCCAGTGTGGGGGAGCCAGCACTGGACATAGACATTCCCAGTTTTGTGGACTCAGGGCTTAACCAGAGAGAAGGTCCCATTGCTGGGAGAATGTCAGAAGCACACAGGACTGAATGAAGGGGGCGGGGGTGTGTGTGTGGGAGCTGGGTTTTGAAGGATGAATAGGAATTCAACAGGTGGAAAGAATATGAGCAAAGGTCTCCAGCGTTGGAAAGGGGGTAGACACGGTTAAGTATGTTAAGGAGGAAGGTCAAGTGAGCCAAGCTTAAGGCAAGGGAAGCCATGAGGGGTGTGAGCTGGAAAAACGCACGGTCAGGTCTGAGACCAGAGTGAGGAATGAACTGCAAGATCTAGGTTAAAGAGTCATAGGGCATCCCAGATACCAGGTGGGTGGGGGATGGCTGGGATACCTGAGCTGACCCCCGTGTGTGCCCCCGCAGGCGTGGTCTTCCCTTACCACCCCCGTGGAGGCCGCTACAAGCTGACCTTCACGGAAGCACAGCGCGCGTGCGCTGAGCAAGACGGCATCCTGGCGTCGGCGGAGCAGCTGCACGCGGCCTGGCGCGATGGCCTGGACTGGTGCAACGCGGGCTGGCTGCGCGATGGCTCGGTTCAGTACCCGGTGAGCCAGCCCAGGGAGCCCTGCGGCGGCCTGGGCGGGGCCGGGAGCGCCGGGGTTGGCAGAGGTACCTCCGGGGGCGTGCGCAACTACGGCTACCGCCATAACGCGGAGGAACGCTACGATGCCTTCTGCTTCACGTCCAACCTCCCGGGTGCGTAGGCCACGTCCGCCCTCCCACCCCCTGCAACAGGCCTTTTCTGGGTTCCCCTCCATCTCAGTCTTTCTTTCCCACTCCACCCCACCCCCAGTTTTCTCTCCCCGTCCTTACCCTCTGAGGGCCAGACCAGGAGATCCCTTTCCCTGGGACCGGCACAGCGCTCAAATCAACGCTACTCAGGCTATCCAGGCCGAGGCTGGGGTCCCGGGCTGCATGGGAGGGAGTGCTCTTTAATTTTGAGGTTGGGGTCCTAGGCTGTAGGCTGATAGAGGGGGCGTGCTGAATCCCGGGGAGGCCACCTCCCGGAAGCGGCCCTAACCACTCCCTCAAACCCCGCAGGGCGAGTGTTCTTCCTGAAGCCGCTGCGGCCCCTGCCCTTTTCTGGAGCAGCGCGCGCGTGCGCGGCGCGCGGCGCGACCGTGGCCAAGGTGGGACAGCTATTCGCCGCGTGGAAGTTGCAACTGCTGGACCGTTGCACCGCAGGCTGGCTAGCAGACGGGAGCGCGCGCTACCCCATCGTGAACCCGCGCGCGCGATGCGGCGGCCACCGACCAGGTGTACGCAGCCTCGGGTTCCCGGACGCCAAGCGCAGCCTCTTCGGTGTCTATTGCTACCGCGCTCCCGGAGTGCCCGACCCTGCACCAGGCGGCTGGGGCTGGGGCTGGGCGGGAGGTGGCGGCTGGGCCGGAGGTGCACGGGACCCGGCTGCCTGGACCCCGCTGCGTGTCTAGGCCCAGGGCATGGACGGCTGGGGGGCTTGGCGACTGGCCGAGTGCCCTGCTGTCCCCTGGAGACAGATCACGTCCCCTACAACGCCTAGGCTGTAGGCTGACCAGGCTCCTGTGGTCCTTGAACACTGACCACACCCCCAAAACTGGCCAGTCCCGGGGAGAAAAGTCCCCCTTTCTTGGACAGATTTCCCCTACTCCCCTGACTTTCTCTAGGAGACCTAGCACAACTTCTGAGGACCCCTGGAGGCCAACAGACCCCGAGGTCTCCAGAAGACTACTCCTCCAGAGGTCACCTGGACACAGACGGAACTATTCTCGAAGTCACCTGGAGGCTGGACCCCCGGGATTATCTGGAGACTGGCCACGCACCCTCTATCTCCCTGGAGACTGAAGACTTTACTGTCACCCAACAACTGAACCATCCTCCCATCACCTGTAGAAGAACTAGAAACCACAGAGTTGGACAGGTGACCATGGCCCCAAAGTCACATGGAGACTGTGGGCTCCTGTCCTCTCCCTATGGTGACCTGCTGATTGGGTATTCCCATTCTTCCCCCCTCCCTCTGGAGTCCCCTGAAGTTTCCATAGTAACAGACCAAGTCCCCAGGTCACTGGAGAGCAGCCCCATCTTTCTAGTTTCAGGGGAGACCACCCTTTGTCAATGCTCAGACAGATCGACACACCCCAGCTGGGTTGTATGACTGGCAGCTGTGCCCTACCCTCAGGTATCTCTCTGGAAGGGCAAGTCTGCCTCCACCTGACCTCCTTTTTCCTGGCTGTCACCAAAGAGACCATCCCCGGGACCCAGAGACCCATAAAACCCATGTTACGTGCTATGGAAGCAGGCCACTCCACTTCCTATTGGCACTAAGGCGACCAGACCAGCTTCTCTGTCACCTAGAGTCACACAGCCCTTCCCTCATCAGTCACACCCATGGAGATAGTGCCTCTCTCCTCTAACCACGGATCTGTAACCACGGATACTACACATTCCCCATCTCATCAGCGTCCACCCCAGAGACCTACACCTCCACTTCTGTTGTTCCCACCCTGACCAACAGCCATGGAGCCCACCCTCCCTGTAGCTGTCCAGACAGTGAACCAACATTCAGTTCTCCAGCTCTCACCATGGAAATGGGCTGCCCTTTCCCCAGGCCCACCCCAGCTCCTTGCAGCCCTCCAAGCTCTACAGCTGTTGCCATGGAGACCAAAGTGGAGTCTGAGGTAACAGAACACCTGTCTCCCTAGGCTTTTCCTTGACAGCAGGGCCCCACCCACCAAGCTGTCACCATAGAGGGTGTTAATATCATCCCCATGACAACTGACCCCTGACCCCCAGCTCTCAGGAACTAATCACCATGGCAGGAACTGCACCTTGTAGGTCTTAATGGCTGAGCCTACCTGGTGTAGGGGCATTAGGTGGGCTCAGCCCCAGGCAGCATCCCCAGACAGGGCTGGACTTCTGGAGCTGCTGGACACCCTCCGTTTGCACGCTAACTATACCCCAGACAGCAGCTGTGCACGACACACCCTTGCAACACCCAGGCGTTTTCATTGCCTCTGTACAAATGAGCAAACTGAGGCACTGGCATGCCTTGGCCCTTTGAGCTGTGCGAGCGCTGGGTTTCCCTTTTTCTCTCGGAGACCCCATCCCCATTCTCACCTAGCTCTTCTCTGCTTCCTTACTTCCTCCCCTACCCCGTTTCCCTCCTTAGAGATCCAGGAGATGTGGAATGTTCTTAAACCTCAAAATCCACTCTGAGCTCCAGATTTTAAGGGGAGATTCTTGCTAAGAACTCAGGAGCCAGCCAGACTCCCCAGTTGAGCGCCACCCAGCCATGGGAAATCCCAGTTCCAAGGTCTTTCCTGCGCAGCCCTGGGCACCCTCCCGGAGCCCGCTTTACTGCCCCATCCATCTCAAGGACACCTGTCTGTGGGTTGGGAACCCGGTTGGCTTCGTTCTAATCCTGCCTGTGACCAAATGACAAAACCCCTGAGCCTATTTCCTCCTCTGTACCAGGGCTGCTACGAGGTCCCAGTGAGTGCAAAGCATACAGCAGGGGCTCAATAAAATTTTTTTTCAATGAATGAGAAAATGAGGCAGCCAGTGAATAATTACTTCAAAATGCATTTTGGTGAACAAAGTGTTTCCCAGCAGGGGTACTTGGTGATGACTCAGTCAGAAGCCTCCCCTCATTTCTTAGGACCACATCCTACTCAATCTCTTCTTCCCCCATACGCCCCCCCCACCCCCACCCTCTCCTTTGAGCTACCCGCTATGGGTCTGACTCTTCTCCACCTTGTCCTGATTGAGTCCTCTCAATACCCAGGAACAAAGTGTGTGAAACTGGATGGGGAATTTCTTCTCCAGGAAGACAGAGAAGTTGCAAATTTTCCTGGGATGTAAGGGTGGGGGGAGGGGAGTGTGGACTGATGAGTATTGGAAGATTCTGGGATACAAACAAAGGGAGAAAGAAAAAAGCGTAAGGTCTGATTTGGTTGTAGAAGGGGGATGGTCGATGTAACTGCTCATCATTCAATACTAGACTTGACGAAGCTTCCAGAAGCAGACCATTCCTCTGAATGCAGGGTCCAGCTCCTTGGTTAAACTGTCTTGTGCTCCAGCTGGGCCTTAGCTTCTCGTAATAGGGGACTGGTGAGGGACATGTGTCCAGGGATGCGTGTATGGGATTTCTTTCATCCTGCCTTTTCCCTGCGGCATCCTTTCTCCCTTCCACCATTCCAGCTCCTTGGTTTCCCCTGAGTATGTAACTTTAACTCCTCTCATTCCATGAGATATGGAGGGGCAGACTCCGCCCCCCTTCCAGCTCTGCCAATGAGTGATGTGGCCCATCTCCCTGGGCAGCCTTGATTGGTCCAGGGATGGACATGCACGCATGCAGACCAGTCCCTGGGATTTGGGTGATGATTGGGCAGAGGGAATCTTCCTTCTTCTGGGGTCACTGCACCGTTGGGAGTGGATGTCTCCAGGGTCCACCAGGAGGACAGGTAAGGGGTGGCAACTAGGAGGAAACTTCCTGAAGCCAGGTATTCAGAGAAACGTGTGTGTGTGTGTCTCTCTCTCTCCTCCCCCCACTCCCATCCTCTACCACCCAGTTTACTTCCCATAGACATACAAAGTTTCTTACCTGTCCTTCCAGAGATGTTTTTATTCAGTCAAGCGAATATGCATATATGTTTCTTTTCCCCACTTTTATACAAGTGATAGTGGACAACATATACTTTCTTATATTGTAAAATTTATATAAAATAAGCTTTACCACTGTAAGTGTTTTAAAGTGTTCCATTCAGTGGCAATTAGCACATTTGCAGTGTTGTGCAGCCATCTAATTCCAAGCCATTTTCATCACCCAAAAGAAAATCCCAACTCCATTAAGCAATTGCTCCCCATTCTTTCCTCCCACCACTGGCCTGGCAAATGCTAACCTACTTTCTGCATCTATGGATTTGCCTATTCTTGATATTTCATATAAATTGGAATTGTGCAATATATGTGTCCTTTTGTGTCTAGCTTCTTTCAGTCAATATCATGTTTTGTTTTTAAGATTTTATTTATTTATTTTCAGAGAAAGGGGATGGGAGGGAGAAAGAGAAGGGGAGAAACATTGATTGGTTGCCTCTTACACACCCCAACTGGGACCTGGCCTGCAACCCAGGCATGTGTCCTGACTGGGAACCGAACCAGTGACCTTTCAGTTTGCAGGCCAGCTCTCAATCCACTGGGCCACACCAGCCAGGGAAACATCATGTTTTTGAGGTTCATCCATGTTGTATTATGTGTCAATGCTTTATTCCATTTCATGGCGGAATAATATTCCATGGTATGTATATACCACATTTTGTTTATTCAATTATCAGTCAGTGGACATTTGGGCTTTCCACCTTTTGACTACTGTGAATAACACTACTATGAACATTCGTGTACCATTTGTATTTGAAAAGTAACCCTTCTCTTAATAATGTATTTTTGAGATCGTCTCCATCAGCATACAAAGAAAGATTCCCCTCAAACACTCTTTTAAAGATCAGCAGAGTTTTCCTTGTTTGCATGCACCGTAATTTTTGTAGCTAATCTCCTAATGGTGGACACTTGGTTTCCCGTATTTTGCCTTTAGTCATAAGCACCCTCATCATCTCACACACAAACAACCGGGGGATGTTATCAGGTGATTGACCAAGGGGTCAAAACTTGCCATGTTGATAGTGATGTTCACCTCTTCTTGGAGGTGGGCATCCCACCGGTAATAGATATACTTGCTGTTTCCACACTCCCTCCCCAGCATCACGCTATCACTTTTTCCCTTAGCCATCGTGATAGGTGAGAATGGTATCTTGCTGAGGTTGTCACCTGCAATCCCCTATGAGTGAAGCTGAACATCTTCCACTTCGACCTTAGGTGCAGGTGGTTGAGTAAATCATAAACCATTCTCAGCTTAGGTATATTGTTATCATTGATCTATGCAAGGCTTCCTCTCTTGTTGGATTTGTTTATTCCTTTTAAAAATATGCTCTTCTTTGTTTATCTTGGTGTTCATGCAGTATGTGAATTATTTTGTTTAGCATATGTTGTAGTTTAAGACCCATCTGTAGATCCTTTTCCATGAATGTTTTGTTCTATTCTTTGCAAATTTGGCTATTGGATTACTAGCCTTTTCTCATATTGATTTGTGGAAGCTTTTTATATATAAAGGCAAGAAGTCCTTTACCTCTGTTTGAAAATTGTTTCTAAGTTTGGCATTTGCCTTTTGACCTTGCTTATAGTATTTGTTGCCACTGTCACTTATAGAATAAAGCCCCAACTCCTCGCTACAGCATATATGGCCCTGAATAGTCCATCCTTTGCCTCTCTGCCCCTACCTCCCTCCTCCCTCTACCTCTATCACTCTGCTCTAGCCGAAATGGTCTCCTTCTGTTTCTCAAATGAGCCATGTTTCCTTTTGCAAGAGGACTTTTGCCTTTGCTCTTCCCTCTTCCTGGAACTCTTTTCCTTTCTCTCCTTCCATGTCAAGTTAATGCAATTCCTTCTTTAGATCCCATCCACCTCCTCTAGGAAACCTCCCCTGACCACTTCCCAGAGACCATGTCTGTCCTGTTCACTACTATCTCCCCAGCACCCAGCAAAGTCCACAGCTCATAATAGCTTTTCAGTAAGCACCCGCTGAGTGAATGAATGAAGGAAAGTGTCAGGAGGTGATAGGCATGTTGAACTGTTAAAAAATTTTATTAAAATGTCCAAGAAGTACATTAATGTCCACAGTGTCAGATACCACAGACCCACAGATAACTGCAGCTCACAGCAAAACCAGTGGAACCCAAAGCTGTTCACACGCACACACATGCATGCCACACAAGTGGCACACACAAACACACGCACACATACCAAAGGGAAAGACCAAAAGACAAACCAGCCACTTTAGGAAAGACCAGAGCCCCCTCCCACCATGGAGCTGGGGTAGGGGCAGGGCAAGGGTCCAAGGGGACCAAGGGCAGGGACCATAAACTAAGACACCCAAAAAAAGTTGCATCTCCAGCACCCCCCAACAAAGGAAAATTCTTTTGTGACGTGGATGACTGGTGTTATTATATTTTTAAACGAACAAGAATTATCAAAGCAAGAAGGCAAAGCTATATCCCTGGGCTTTCTTAACAATACGGTATCGTGGAACAGTGGATGATATCTATAGAAGGGAAGACTGAATACCATGGTCGAGGATGAGGGTCTGGTTTGCACTTCTCAATCTTTTCCTAAATCTGTCTATGAGTGTGAGAGGGAGCACAATTATGTTTCAATTCCTTCCCCAAAGTAGAGAGCAGTGTTCTCTGTCAGACGGAGGTAGGACTAGGTCCTTCCTTCTGCCTTGGCTGAGACGTCAAGCCAGTGCCGTTCTTGTCTGAGCCTGTTTTGTCATGTGTAAAATGGGAACATAATGGTTTCTAAGTCTGTGGACTGTTGAGAAGATTCGAGGAGACAGTGTGCAAGTATTTTAGCAGGGTACCTACTCCAAAGTGGTCAGCTGTAATTAGGACTTCCCAGGAGGCATACAGGCTCAGTCAACACATTCCTGCCTCTACTGAACCCTTAGAGGGACCATATATTTGCTTATTTTTCTTTGCTGCAGACGGCTAATCTCCAGTGTGTGTTTTAACACTAGTCCATAGATATTACCCAGACGGGAGGGGCTGAGAGTAGACAAAACATGGAGGAAAAGCTGTGGATATTCCCTCCTAGAGATCAGGGAGCTGGGTCCCAGCCTTCATCTTGGAAAGTCCTTTATAGGTTGTAGATTTGGGGGAAGGCCAGGGGAGTTCTTTCCCACTTAAAATGTTTTTAAAAAACGATGAGAGAAAAATGTGTGTGTATGTTTCGGTTTTTAGCACTGTGCATCTCTCTACAGGACTGCAGGTAGATGTCACTACTTCAGTTTTTAAGCATTTCTAGTCTCCCAGGCAACGGATGGAGACAGGGATGGGGTAGGGGTGGGACCCAGGGCAGCGCACTACCGATGTCTGCTTGAGGGATGGGCACGGGCACTGAGCTAGAAAACTTGGCACCTCCTTGGTCCAGGAAGGAGGTTTTTGTCTCCCTGAGAGATGGAGGGGGAAGAAACCTGGGCTTGTCAAGCCCTAAATATCCTCTCATCTGTGTGTGTGTATGTGTGTGTGTGTATGTTCATGTGCGCATGTGCATGTGAGATTTACCACACATGCAGAACCACCAAATCTCAGCACTGGGACAAAGACCTGGGAAGATAAGCAATACACCTTCCCTTATTGCCCACGTATTGCTCTGACTATCTGACCCCTAACTCTGAGGGCATGGAAGGAGGCTGTTCTAAAAACATTCCTAAAATTCAGTACATAGGAGTTCAACGCTGTTTATCCACCAAGACCAAAGACTGAACTTGGTTCAAGTCCAAGGTAACAGAAGAGCAGTCCTCAAGTTCAAGCAGTGTGTTTCCACGTCATTTTCTACTCCCAAAGACAGTGACTTTAACCAAAGGCTGCATTTAGGACATCTGACAGTTTACAAAGCCTGCATCTCTGGTGTGAAAAGCAATTCCTCAGTGCAAATCCAAACGTACACTCTTGCACCCTCATCAAAGCCTTATTTCAACAACTGGCAATTAGACTTGCCAACAAAAGACTAAATCAGGGCAGCAAAGAATGATCTTTGCTGATTGTGCTTCCCTCCACTGGGAGCTTCTCCCAGAGTCCAGCCTGACTAGAACTGGATTTTCAGACACATGGCTGCACCTGCCAAGAGGACCTGTATACGTAAGAAAGAGGGGAGAGGGGCTTTTTACAAAGGATTATGGGGGTGGGGCATGTGGTTTGGGGCGCAGGGGCTTCCGGACCCTCTTGTTTCTCTCTGGGCTCTATCTCCCCAGGCGAAAGCTCCAGAGGAGGTGTGGAAGGGGGTTGTGCTCTCTTTTGCCTGGCTCTTCAGCAGAAATTCCCTTCCTCCTTCTCCCAGTCCTCCACCAGGTGTTTCTTGTGTTTTCTGCGCTCCTTGCGTGATTTGTGGTGGCGATGCTGGTGGTGGTGCTGGTGGTGGTGATGGTGTCGCCGCATTCGATGGGACCTTCTGGCTACAGGGAAGAGGAGGACAGGGAAGTGGCAAAAAGGTGGTGAGAGGCAGGTGGCTTGATGCTGCCGGCCTCGTCGAGGGGAGGAAAAATGGAGGAAACACCAAGCAAGCTGGTAAATTCTCACTTACATGCAAGGCTGTATTATCAGGCAGATATTTATTCAGATCAAGGTATATAGTCATAAGATGTTTTAATTGGAGACTACAAATAAGTGGAAACTTGTTTTGGGGTGTCTAGGGGCAGCCACTTACGTTTGGTACAGATGATTTGGGGCCGGTCCCATTTGCCATTGCTCTGGCACTGGATGCTGGACATGTGGTGCTGGACAAATCCTTCGTCGCACTGGTAGCGTACAGTGGCATGGATGTTATATTTGGCCTTGCGGGAACCAATGAGCGAAGCGTTCTCCACTGTTGGAGGAGGACCACACAGCACTGGGGACAGAGAGACCTCCAGTTAGAGAAGCGATCACAACAGAGGCTGAACCATTTTCCTCTCTCGTTGGGAATGACACACCTGTTCCGGTCCTGCCCATTGAGCTCACAGGGCTAGAAGCGATCGGCTGTCTCCTCCACCCAGACCAGAAGCCCCTTACAGGCAGGAGCCTCCTGGACACCTCCTAGCCCCTAATTCTTATGCAGGATGAGAACCAAGGAGATGAGAGGTAAGAATAAACTGAGCAAATGAAAGGAAATAAGGACATGAGAATTTGCAAAGGAACAGAAACAAGAATGAAAAAAAGTATGAGAGAAAGGTGGTCACAAGAATTCATGCAAATGTTACCTTAATAGGTAAAGAGCAATTACAAATCAGTAAGACCAATAACAAGCTGACAGAAAATTAGGGAAAGGAGATGAATTGGCAGATCACAGGAAAATAAATACATATAAATGGCTTATCTACATATGAACAGCTGGTCATTCTCATCTTCGAAGATGTGCAAACAACAATAATCTAATGAACAAAACAAACTGATGAACAAAATAGGACCAGAGGCAGGGATGCATGGAATAGATTGACAGCTGTCAGAGGGGAGGGCTGGGGGAGGGACTGGACAAGATTAGCCAAAGAACGTATATACGCAGCCCGTGGACACAGACAACAATGTGGGGAAGGCAGCGGGGGCGGGGCTAGGCTGAAAGGGTCGAAGGTGGAATATGGAGGACAGCTGTAATAGTGTCAACAATAAAAAAAAATATCGCGATACTGTTTTTTCACCACTTAGATGAACCAAGAACAGAAAGTTGGAGAATGCACCGAGTCGGCAAGGGTAGGGGAAAAAATGAGCTTTCTCATACAGCGCAGAGTGTAAATTGGGCAGGGCTGACTCTTACATTTCCACACTTTAAAAACAACATGAACCCGTGAACGTGAGCCACAGCAGGGAGAGCGGGGAGGGCGGCAGCCTACCTGTGCCCTTCTTGCAGACGTAGGGGAGGTTGTAGTTGCAGGGCACGTCGTTCCAGCGCCCACTCTCATGCGCCACCATCACCACACAATCCTCCCCGCCCGCGAAGAAATTGTCTGGCTGGTTCTCTCGCCAGTTCTCGTATTGCTGCAGAAATGTGGAGCAGGGGGTGCTCAGGGGACCGGCATCCTGGCCCAGGCTCTGTCCACTGTGGGGCTCCCCTGGCCAGACCACTCAAACTCTTAGGGACTCAGTGTTTCCATTCCTATAATTGGCACTGTTCTGCCTGCCCTGAGGGTACAATTTGAGTCAGCCCTCCTCTGGCTGGGAGGCTGCAGTGCCCTCCTCTCTTGTGCCTCTGCCTCCTGTCTTGCTCTCTGATAGTCTGTTTCCAATATGGGTCACTTGCTGTTAGAGAAATAGTTCAACAAAAGATGACCTCAGCCGGGAAGTCCAGGAGGGCTTCCCTGAGGAGGCAACAGGGGAGTGGGAGACTCAAAGGAGAGAATGAAGCAGGCAGAAAACAAGCAGAGGAAACAGCTAGAGCAATGGCCCAGAGGCAGGACTGAACTTGTCCTATGTGAGGAAAAGAACAGAAGCCAGTGGGGTTGAAGATTCTTGATGGAGCTGGGAGTCAGAGGGTGAGCAGGGGCCAGTTCTTGTGGTAAGAAGAGAGGAGGTGGAGTTTTTTTCAACTGTGATAAAATACATATAACAAAATTTACCATTTTAATAATTTTTTAAATCCTCACCTGAGGATGTGTTTTTAGAGGGAGAGGAAGGGGGGGAAAGAAAGAGAGAGAGAGAGAGAGAGAAATATTGATGTGAGAGAGAAACATTGATTGGTTGCGTCCTGTACGCAACCTGACTGGGGATCAAATTCTACAACCTAGGTGTGTGACAAGGAATCAAACCCAAAACTTTTTGGTGTACGGAATGATGCTCCAGCCACCCCGCCAGGGCAACCATTTTAATAATTATTCAGTGTCCGGTTCATTGGCATTAATTAGATCCACAAAGTTGTACAACCATCACACTGTCTGTTGCTAGAACTTTTTCATTATACTAAACAGAAGCTCTGTCCCCATGAGCAGTCGCTCTCCATCCCCCGCCCCCAGCCCCTGGCAGCCACAAATCCACTTGTGGTCTCTGTGGATTTGCCTGTTCTGGATAGTTCACACCAATGGAACCATAAACGCGTGTCTCTTTGTCCGGCTTCTTTCACTGCGCAGCATGTTCTCATCCACAGTGCTGGGTGTGTCGGTGTCTCTTTCCTTTTTCACTGAATCATTGTGTGGTTGGACCACGTTTTGCGTGAGTGCACCTCTGTTGATGGACATTTGGGTTGTTCCTTCTGGCAGTTATGACTAGTGCTGCTGTGAACATGTGTGTACCTATACCTGAGTCCCTGCTTTCACTTCTTTGGGCACATACCAAGGAGTGAAATTGCTGGGTCGTGTGCTAGTCTATGGTTAACTTTTCGAGGAACTGCCAGTCTCTCCTGCACAGCCGAAAGAGGTGGGTCTTCGTGTCGAGAACCCTGGGGAGTCGGACAGGGCTTGAAGAAGGCAGAGCCCTGATCTGATGCATGCTTTTTAAAAGGTCCCACCTTTTAAAAGCGCTTCCCTTTGGGGCATTGAAAATATTCTGGAACTAGACAGAGATAGTGGTTGCACGATGTTGTAAATATACTTACTGCCACTGAATGATATACTTTAAAATGATTAATTTTAGCCCTGGCTGGTGTGGCTCAGTGGATTGAGTGCCAACATGCAAACCAAAGGGTCGCAGTTCGATTCCCAGTCAGGGCACGTGCCTGGGTTGCGGGCCAGGTCGCCAGTAGGGGGCACATGAGAGGCAACCATCCACTGATGTTTCCCTCTCCTTCACCCTCCCTTCCCCTCTCTCTAAAAATAAACAAATAAAATCTTAAAAAAAAGGAAAACTTAACTTTTTAAAAATTAAATGATTACATTTATATTATGTGAATTTTCCCTCAATTTTTTAAAGCCCCCGTGGCTGCCAGGTGGAGGAGCAGGAGTGTGGGTAGCAAGGGTGGGTGGGGTTGCGGCAGGGGTCCCAGTGAGGGACACCATAGGCTGGGCAGGCGGGGGTACGTAGGAAAGTGGGAGTGTCTCAGAGCCCACGGCTGGATGACCAGGGGGTGTGAGCAAAGCAGTCATCGCCAGTGCAGGGATTCTAGCCTCAGTCACAGGGTGGATGGGTCCTCTAGAGCGCAGGGAAGTCGGGAGATTTGGGGCTTTGCTGAAGCTCCTTTGCCACTCCAGGTCTCTGACGGCTGATTTACATAAGCGGGTAAAGTGAGGCCAGAACACAGGGCCACGGGGCTCACCCATATCCCTCTGTTCCAGGTGGGACCCTAGTCTGCAGCCTGGTAGCGGAGACCCAGGCTCCCGCCACTCACCAGCCCTGTGTTGTCCGTCCACTGGAAATCCCTCTCCACGATCCTGTCGTTCAGGCCAATCCATGTGTTTTCACGCCCAAAGCCTGCAGGGTGAGGAGTCTTCAGGGCTGGGCACCTGCCTCTCCCCAAGCTTAGGTGCCAGCTAGTCGCAGATGGGGGTTGGGTGGGGAGGACCCAGCCCCTTTTCCAGCCTGAAGGTGGGCTGGACGGGAAAGGGAATGGAGGTGGGAGCGAGGGAAAAAGAGGACGGAGGTGGAAAGATGGAGGTAGGGTAGGAGCCGAAGGCCCCCTCTCAGCAGGGGCACAGGCTGGAGGCCGGCACCCCCATTCCCCAGCAGGCTGGGGCTCTGGCCGCCCTCTACCTGGGGGCGTGGGGGTGGGGCACAGAAAGGGCTGTTATTAGGCACTGGCCTCACCACAGTTTGTGGCTTAAACAAATGGTCAGAGTAAGAAATAAACGAATACATGTTGGATCTTTGCAGAAATGAAAGTAAGGGACAGGAGAGCCCGTAGGTGGCTCTGGTCAGGGCAGCGGTGAGACTCAGTGAGCCCCAGTGAGCCAGCTACTGAGGACAGAGGAAGCGGAGGAGGAAAAGAAATGAGAGATGCAGGGAAAGAGCAGATGAAAGAATTAAGAGATGGGGAAGGGGTGGGGTAGTGGCCACCCCCACAGCTGGGCGCCCCCAGGAGTCAGATTTGAAGCCCCTGCTGAAACGGGTCAGATGCTTCTGAGCAGGGGCCCTGGGGACTGCAACCGCCCAGCGAGATGCAGGACAGTGTCCTGAGATGTCTCCGAGGACAGTTCCCGCCCATGTACATTTCCTCAACACAGTCTTTTAAAGCCAAAAAAAAAAAAAAAAAAAAAAAATTAGAGGATGGGATGGGGAAAATGTGAATAAATGGATGGATGAACAGACAGCAGAAGGAATAATGAATGAATCAATAAAAGCTGGGTTTAATTCATGCGACACTCTTGCTAGGTCTCCACGCAGCTCCTTCCTCATTTTATCCCAGGCACCGCAGGCGCTTCCGCATTGCCTTCTCTCCCCTGGCTGTTTTATTTGTCTTCAGCATACTTAGGGCCAGCTAAATAATATTACCGATTTATTTAATTAGATATCTACGTGTTTGCCTATGTCCCCCACAAGAATGTTGTTCTCTGAGGAATGTCGTTCTCCTCGCTCACTGCTGTGTCCCCGTGCCTGGAATGGTGCCTGGCACAGAGCAGGTGCCCGGTCAATATATGATAAATGAGTGAATGGATGAACAAATGAACGAACGAAGGAACAAATGAATAAACAGACTTGGAAATTACTAACTGGCTAGGGCTTGCGCTAATGAACACTTCAGAAAGGTGACGTCCTTAGGATCCCGGGGGACTCTGCTGACAAAAGGACTGCAGGGCCAGCCCTGCGCACCCCAGAGTCCTTACTGTTAATGAAGCTGTGTTCCTCAGGTGAGTGGATGCTGGTCAGGTGGCCCGCTCGGCGGCGGCAGTCCCTCTCGGCATCCTCCCACGCCCGCCGGTGGGCAAAGTACCGGTAGCAATGGCCCTGGAACTTGTGCCAGCCGCGGTCACAGCCCTCTGTGTCTGGGAGGTGAAAAGGGAGTGGGAAGGGGGCTGGCCTTGGCCTGAGAGGCCTACCCTGCTGGCCATGAGCACAGCCAGCCCACCAGAGAGAGACGGGGCCAATCCAAGGTCACTGTGGGGCTAGGTCACCCCTCTCCCTGGGCCCATCCCCCTTCCCCCTGAGGCTCTGTGCCCCCCCTTCATCCCCCCTCCCATATTCACGTCTTTTCTTTGTTGCTGGAAGAAGTTCTGCTGGAAGATCATTACACCCACCCCCTCTCGTCCCACCTCTGATGTCTCCTGCTCTGATCGGCAGGTCCACACCCTCCGTGTGGACCTGGAAACTCAGGACATGGCCTCAGAAAGGCCTAAAGTTCCCCTCCTGGCAAAGGGCTCAAATAGATATTTCTCCCAAAGAGATAGACAAACGGCCAAGAAGCTCATGGAAAAATCATGATTAGTCATTAGGAAATGCAAATGAAAACCACAATGAGATACTACCTCACACCCACTAGCATGGCTATCATTTTTAAAAAGGAAAATAACAAGTGTTAGTGAGGATGCAGAGAAATCAGAACCCTGCACACTGCTGGTAGGAATGGAAAATGGGCAGCCACTGTTAGTAACAGTCTGGTGGTTCCTCAAAAACTGACACACAGAATTACCACATGACCCAGCCATTCCACTCCTAGGTATCAACTGAAAAGAACCAGGGGTGGGGGAGAGGGGAAGAATAGAAAACAGGTGTTCAAATAAAAATTTGTACATGAATGTTCACAGCAGTACTATTTATATTAGCCTCAAGGGGAAAGCAACCCAAATAATCCATCAAGTGATGAATTAATAAACAAGATTCGGTCCATCAATACTGTGAATACTATTCAGCCATAAAAAGGAATGAAACACTGACACTTGCTACAAGGTGGATGAACTTTAGAAACATGATGCTGAGTAAAAGAAGCCAGACACAGAAGGACACATAATGTGTGACTCCGTTTACATGAAATGTCCCGAACAGGCAAATCCAGAGACAGAAAAAAAGATCAGTGGTTGCCAGGGTTGGGCAGATGGGGAACGAAGAGTGACTAGTAGTGGGGGTACGGTCTCCTTCTGGAGTGATGGAAATATCTTGGAATTTGCTAGAGATGGTGGCTGCAAAACAGTGTAACTGTACTGGATTCCTTTGACTTGTACACTCAAAAAAAGCTTAATTCTATGCTATGTGAATTTTATCAAAAAAAAAAAACCACCCCAGTTTGTCTCCTGCTGGACTCACAGCCACAGAACCTGTAGTGTGTGTGGGAACCTATGGCCCAGCGCCCGCACCCACTCCTGTTTCTGGGGTCTCGGCAGAGACTCACCTTTCTCACAGAGGCTGCCCCCATAGCTGGGGAGGCAAAGGCAGGCGAAGGCGTTGACCTCATCGATGCAGGTGCCTCCGTTCTCACAGGGGCTGGAGACACAGTCGTCGATGTCTGGAGGGGACAGGGAGAGGCCAAATCAGAGGTCTGCCTCCCCTCGGCTCCCAGGTCCCCCAGGAAACCAGGCAGAAGATGGGGTCGTGATGCTGCGATCCATCCTGGACCTGAGTGCAGCAGCAGTGGCCTGCGCAAATGGCTCTGACGGTCAAAGGGGTGGAGCCTCACATAATTTACATAACAGCATTAATGAGAGCAGATGCCCCTGGGCTGGCTAAAGGCCAGGTGTGCAGAACGTTCCACCTGACTCCAGAACCAGGAGGATCATACTCTTGCCAACATACCCAGAGAATGTTGAAGCTGAGGGTCTTTTAGGAATGTGGAACCTAGGGAAGCTGGGTTCCAGAGCATTTGCAAGGACTTGCAGAGAGTCACAAAGCTGTTTGTAGCGACAGATATCCAGCTGAACTTCCTCTCCTGCCACCCTGTGTACACAGTTCTTGAGGCATGTATGACACCAGGCAAGTCACTCCCGCTCTCTGAGACTCAGTTTCTTTTCTTTTCTTTTTGCGAAGTGGTAATTATAATGGCACCTTTTCAAGGGTGGTTGTGGGTGGAGAGTCAGTGGAGGAGCTCAAGGATTTACATCATGTATATTTATTGTTATAATTCTATAATTAGTAGTGTGGTTGTGAAGGTTGTGAAATCGATGAGATTTTGCACAGGGCTCAAGAAATTGTATTGTTTATATTTATCGTTGTAATTTTATAATCTGTCATATTTCTTATGTCGGGCTTTGGGGCTAGTATCCAACCATCCTGCTGGCCTCACCTCTGCCCCTGCCCGCCCAGCAGAGGTGAGCATCCCCTGAGGCCCTCGGATGGGAGGAGTCTGAGCCTTATCACCCCTTTGTCTTCTCCTCCTTTACCCCTGCCGGGCAGGGCAGGGCAGTATCGGGAGCCAGCACACCCAGAGCCTTGGCCGCCAGGATGAGACTTAGCTGACTGGTCTGGGGCTGATTTACTGGTTCCAAGGAATGGGGAGGGGGAGGGAGCATCTAGAGCCAGCATTCTGCATACCCTGAGTCCTCGTGGGGATGGCTGCTGGGGTAAACAAACCCCAGGGTTCTGGAGTCAGACCAGTGCAGGTTCAGATCCCGAATCTGGGGCACTCACCGATCTCACAGTTCTCCCCAGCAAAGCCCCGGTCACAGCTACAGCCATATAGGGTGCCATTGGCTGTACAGGTGCCCCCGTGCAGGCAAGGGTTGTTCTCACAGGGATCCGAGGGGGCTGCAGGAGGGACAGGCAGTGCGGGGAGCAGTCAGGCCACCGGCCTACCTTCCTAGAATCTAGACTCCAGGCACCCAAGGCCCCCTGGCTCAACCCCTCTCTCTGGAGTCCCCTCTACAACTTCCCAACAGGTACTCACCAACTTCCTCTCACGTGCCCCTGTGACAAGTTTACTCCTTCCAGCAACTTCCCCGAAGCACCTGTTGGGGGCCCTGCCTGGGACAAACTTTCTCTGACTGAGCTGGAATGGGTTTCCCAAAGCTTCTCTTAGAAAATCATCTAGGACGTGCATTTAAGTGCTCTCCCTGACTCGTCCCTCTCTTCTGGACACGCGCTGCTGGACACGCCCAGCCTACTGTATTTCTCACAATTTGGAGCACAGAAGTGGGCAGAAGGTTCCCCATGGTGCAGTATGAACAGCACTGGGGAAGTGTGGGAACCATCACCTCTTTCATTTGGGCTCACCCTCTTTTGATGCAACTTCAGTAGTTACATCGTGAAGAGGTGGTAGATTATAGTGGTTATAATGATGGGCTCTGGAGTCAGAGAAGTTAGTTCAGTCCCTAGCTCTGTCCCTCATGAGGGGACCCTAAGCAGATCACTTCTCTGGATTTCAGTTGCCTCATCTATAAGATGGAAATAGAAGTAGTTCACCTTTCTCTCCCCCAGTCCTGTCCATAATGCCACATGTGGCTCTCCATGTATTAGCTTGGGGCCTCTCGAGGGGTCTCAGTGTGGCTCGGCATGCACCAGGAACCCAGGGTGCATTTAGGAATGTGTGTCCTTGTTCCCTTCCCCAACCATCCCCCCCACCAGCTGGGTTTCATTGGAGGCATGAGGATCTCCCCTCCCCATCTTGGGGACCCAGATGCCTTGGTGGGTGGTCTCCCTCCTGGAGCCCGGGAGAGGCAGATCAAGAACCCCCATCCTACCCCAGGGGACATTCTTCCCTTGTCAGGGCAGCATCCAACCCTTCTACTGCAAAGACACTAGGACGGAGGCCCAGGGAAGGGAAAGGCCTGACTCAATGCCACGCAGTGGGACAATACAAGAGCCAAGGCTGGCCTCCAGGGTTTTGATAGGCCGGTTTAAAGCCCTCTTTCCAGCCTTTATAACCTAGAATTTGTTTCTGTTTTGGGTTTGTCTAGAGCCTCAAAAGAAACTGAGGTGGTGACAAGCTGTCACCAATCCCTAGGCCTCCTGGCCTCCGCCCTCGCCCTCCACAGGCTGTTCTCCCTATAGCTGCCAAAGGGAGTCTATGTAAACTGAGTCGGCTCATGTCCCTCCTCTGCCCAGATCCCTCCGTGGCTCCCCATCGCCCACAGAGGACAGGCAGAAGTCCTCAGTGGAGCCCACAGGGCCCTGTATGATCTGCCCAACATCTCCCTGCCTTACCTTTTGCTTTCTCTCTTGCTCACTCTGCTCCAGCCATACTGGTCTTGCTCTTCTTGCATGCCAGGCAGGGTTCTGCCTCAGGGCCTTTGCACACACTGCACCCTCTGCCTGGAACACTCTCCCCCCAGAACTCTTTGTGGCTCCTTCCTCACCTCCTTCAGGCTTGCTCAAATTTCATCTGGTTAGAAAGGCCTTTCTGACTCCCCTTCCAGAACCAGAAACTATCCACTGGCATCGCCGCCACACCCCCCCCACCCCCGCCCCCTGGCTTCACTTGTCTCTTTGCTCATATCACTTTCTAACCTCCAACGCCACTTATTTAGTAGGATCACTGTTATGTGTTTGTGCCTCCCTCCCCAGAGCAGTGCCGTTCCACACAGCAACCAAATATAGCTATTTAAGTCTACATTAATTAAAAACGAATAAAAGTACAAATGTAGTTCCTCAGTCTCACTAGCCACTTTCAAGGATTCAGTAGCCATGTGTGGCTGGTCGCTACTGTATTAGACAGCATTGCTCTAGAACATTTCCATCATTAGGAAAGTTCTAGAGTGCTGCTCTGGAATGTCAGCTTCCAGAGGATGAGACTTGGTCTCAACATGGGGCCTGGCACACAGCCGGCACTGAATAGTTGCTTACTAACCGAATGAAGGTAGCTGCCGGCCTTCCTGCGGCGACAGAGGCCTATCGCTAGGGTGGTGGCATGTGCTCCCGTGGATTGCCAGAGGGACCTGTGTCTGTGTCTGTCCTTAGTGCCTCCCCGGCACGTGTGCACACATGCGTGGGGCCGCTGGGCGCAGGAATACGTGAGTCCCACCAGGTGCCCCGAGCTGCCGACAGCTGCCCACGGGCTGGCAGTGACTCAGTCGCTCGCTGGTGCTGCATTTATTTTTGGCTTCATTAGCATTTCTGCAGCAAGCATTGGGTGGGTAGGCACCCGGGTCTCTCCCCGCCTCCCCAGTGCTGCCTGCCTCCTTCCTCCCTGGCTGCCACCGGCTTCCGCCTGGAACCAAGACTTCAGCAAAGACCAAGCCATACCCAGCCATAGCCCTGGGGGCTCTTCCAAACGCACTTTGCTTCACACTCCTCTGCATGGTCTCCCTCCCACCTCTCTAATCCCCCTTCTCTAGCTCCTCTGGCACTGAGCCTTCTTCCTGCTGCCTACCCCCAAGCGCTAATCTCTCCTCTGCTCCCTGCAGGGCGAGCTCACCCCTCCCAAGACCTCAGGGGTTGTGTGGGTTTTTTTTACACCAGTGAAATACATGTTTTTCAGCCTAGTGGTTGAGACAGACTGTCGTTAGTTGGCCTGGATTCAAACCTTATCTTTGACAGTCCCTGCTGCCTGACTCTGCACAAGTCACTTTACTTGTCTCTATGACTCAGTCTCCCCATCCTAAAGTGAGGATCACACTAGAACTTGTCCCATAAGGGCATTATAAGATTTAACCAAGACGATTCCAGTACAGTGTTTAAACAAGCCAAGCATATGGGCAGTCACCAATAAGCATCAGCCTTTATCAATTCAGGTGCCCATATCCACCTGCCTCCTGAGCATCTAAAAAAAGAAAATCTAGCCTGGGACACAGCCCAGAGGTGACAGGGTGGATGACAAAACCCTGCACCTGCTATTTCTATCACACACACTTTGCCTTCAAAAAAGAGAGCAAGTGTAATATCAATTGTGTTAATAAGAGTGTTTTGCAATGCAAAAAAAAAAAAAAAAAAAAGCCTTTTAATTAGATGCTGATTTTTTCTAAAGTTCACTTGACCATAAAAACAGCTCAATAGGCAAGACCTAAAAAAAGGGCCAGGATTTGCAGGTGAGCTGCGGGCAGACCTGGCTCCAGGAGAACGGGGTGGTGGTTTTTTCTGGATTCTGCTGGGCACAAAGCACCTGAGGCTTATGCAGACTGGGGCTCCCACTGAAGTTTGGCCACTGACTATCTCATAGTGACACTCGCCCTGAGCTTCGACTTGCTGTCTATAAAATGGTGGGACGGCCCCCCACTTTCACCCCTTCCCAGCACCCACTTTTCCTGTGGCCCTCACAAACCGCACCACTGAATTCCACTCTCCTTGCCATGCTTCCTCCATCCGGCCCCGCCTGGGGGGTGCCTGTGTCTAGCTCTGTCTTCCTCAGACGGGGGCATCACTGGAGGCCAGCCCCCCAGCATTGCACAGCACTGCCTGACTCTGTGTGGCCATAAACTTGAGGAGTTAATTGAACCAAAATCAAACTCCACTCAACGCCTCAACATCCCCCATCAGTCGCTGTGCCTCAAAAACACATCGACTTGATCTCCTGCCTTTGCCCAGGCTGGTGCCTCTGCCAGGGAGCATCCTTTCTGCGATGTGACTCACCTAAGACGTTCCCACCTCCAACGGCATCCCCTGCTAGAAACCTTCCCAGGCCCCCAGGAACAACCCTTCTTCCTTACTCTGGGCTCCCCGGGTCCCCAGTCCCAGAGCCCTGACCACAGTGGGCTGGATGAGGCCGCGGGCTTGGAACTTACCCTGTTCTGCACTCCCATTTGCGGGGGTCCCTGGCAGGGCTGGCTCCTCTCCACTCGCTGCCTCCTCCACACTGGCACTCCCTGCAAGGACCTCCAGCTCAAAATTGCCCAGGACCCAAGGGACAGGCGGCAGGGTGCTGGGGGAGTCCCACGGCACTGTGGGCTCGCCCAAGGACTCCGACACAGGCTTGTTCATGCCGGCCGCCGTAGGTGTCCAAGGAGCAAGCGCGGGATTCACAGGGAGGCTGCCCGCCTGTGGAAGGGCGGAGGCTCCCAGCGGTCCCCGGGTCATCCCTTGGCCCTCTGGCTCTGGGTGGGGTTGGGAGCTGGAGGAGTCCATTGTGGACGTGGCCAGGACCCCACCCTTGTCCCCCTGGTCCAGGGACATGAGGGACGTCACCACATTTTTATCCACAGCCACCTGAGGGCTCATGGTGGGGCTTTCAGCTCCTTCAACCACGCGGGATCCAGGTTTCCAAATCCCATCAGCATCACCAGGGTCCACTGTGGCCGTGGAATCCGCGGGACCCACTGTACCTCCTCCATCTGTAGCAGCCCAAGGCTCCAAACTCAGGGAGACTCCAGGGCCCCTCAACGGTGAGGAGGTGAGGCGGGGGTCCAGCTGTTCGCTGTGCAGTGAGGGCCACATGCCCCGTGCCTCCCCCACGGTGGCCTCTGAGCCAGCAGTGGGGCTCTCTGCTGTGCTGAAGACCCCAGTCTCAGACTCCGAGATGCCTCTCCCTCCCATGGGCTCAGTAGCCATCTCCATGGGGGTGAAATCTGCTGCTGCACTGCCATCCACAGAAGCCTGTGGGCTGGATCTGGGGTGCTCAGCTTTGACGAGTCCAGTGGGGCTGGTCTCTTCAATTTCTCCAAAGTCTGCCCTGAGGGAGTTAGGACTGGCTCCAGCTTGCGTGTCCATGGCTACCTGTGAGGGGGCCGTGGGACTTCCTACTTCATGGTCACGGAATGTCGGGAACATGGCCTCCCTGCCTTGTCCTGTCAGGTCCAAGGAGGGGGGGGAGGAATACACTTCTGGATGGATGGGGTCCTGGGGACTGGCCTGGATCTCTGAGGACAGTGAGCGTGGGGCAGTGGCCATGACCTCACTATGACCCTTGACCCCACTGGCCTGGGTGGGTGGGGGCGTAGGGTGTGGGAGGAGCCACGCTTTGGGGGCACGAAGCATGGCCATGACAGGGAGGTCTAGGGAAGTGACCATGGGAGACACCTCCCAGGGGGCAGCGCTGGAATCCCCTGAGGGGCTAGGAGCATGGGCAGTTGCCTCAGAGGGGGCCCAGGGGAGTTTTGGGGGGGCCAGCCTCACACTGGGGCCCTTGGCTTCTTCCAGCTTGAAGCCAAGGGCTCTGCTGGGGCCGGGGATGCTGGGTAGGACCGCTGTAGGGGGCCACAGCCAGAGCTCTGTGGGGCTCCTGCCACCAGGGAAACCTGCAACAATATCAACAACAGTAATTATCTTTCAGCAGCTCCTTTCATTTAGTATCTCCTTGGTTCAGGCCTGGGGAAGAGAGAGCTTCTGATGCCAGGGGACCCAGCAGGGACGCAGAGCCTCCTCCCCGTGTCCCTGTCAGATACCCACTCAGGTCCCACCTCCTCCGAGGACCCCACTCACCAGCTCCAGGCACATCCACCTCATTGGACAGCACAGCCCAGGGGCTTTGGCTCCTGCCACTCCCTAAAGAGTCCGTGACTGCGGTGGCCAGGGGAGGCTCCACATGATTCCCAGCAGCCTCTGGGGTGGGGGGCTGGGTACCGACCTCAAGCCTCCCCTCCAGCCCTTGCTGGGATTCCTGCTGCTGGAAGTGTCGCCCGTTCAAGCCTTTAAAGCGCCCCCTCCTTCTGGGCGTGGGACCAGCTGGAGTCGCCTCCCTGTGTGTGCCAGCTGAAGTGCCGGCCCCCAGGCTGCTGGAGAAGGGGGCCGAGGTGCTTGGCCACACCTCTTCGGCCTCCAGGTAAGGTCTGGAGGCTACTGTGGGGACCCCAAAGGCCAGGCCTGGGGTCTCTTGAGACTCCTGCTTCTCTGCCAAGATCAGAGGCTCTTCCTCCCCACTGGACACCAGAGGCTCCTGGAAGTCAGGGGTGACCACCTCCCCTTCCTCCACGCTGGGCTCCAGTTCTTGGGCTGGGGGCCCCTCTGCCGACAGAATCTCTCCCTCATCCCCAGACGAAGGGGTCTCTGAGTCTCCATGTTGTGGAGTAGGGTAATGAGCTGTGGGAGAAAGCAGAAAAGGTGTTATGCTCGGGGGCTGGAAAGTTCTGCCTGAAGTCTACCCACATGCCAGCATACTGCAGCACAGACCTGTGTATCTCTGTCTCTCTGTGGCCCTCTGTCTCTCTGGGTGGTTTCTGAAATCTCCCAGACTGAGAGAGAGTGATGCAAAGTTATTATCCCCACTGTTCAGGCTTCGCCCACTGTCAAGGTCAGAATCAACTGGGCACAGTAAGGAGTCATGGGTGAAGCTCAGGCAGGGGTCAACTCTCAGGGACAAGTCAGACCTGGGCCTTGGCTCTCCCCCGGGGTGGGGGTGGGGGGCAGAAAGCTCCTAATGGGCTTGGCCTCCTTAAACTGGATTCCCTCCCTCCCCTTTCATAAATAGAAGATGTAACTCCTCTGAGTTGAGATTTGCAGCTTCTGGGACTGGGCTCCACCCCAAGGGCAAGGGTCATCCCTGGTCTCATCCCTGGGGATGTGGCCTGGTCCAGTTGAGGCATCTCTTACTCGAAGGGTGCTTCTGAGCATGGCTCCACATAAGATACGCTCCATACAGGAATTTGTCTCTCTGGGACCTCAGGACTCATCCCCTAAACAAGACTTCGAGCCAGAGCTTGGGGCTCCTCCCTTCCGCGAGCATGGGACTCCAGGAAAAAGCCAGTCTGAGGGGCGTGGCCTTCACCCAAGGGATGGCTTAACGCGGAGCAGCTTCCACTTGTCCCTCCCCTGCCTAGACTCCGCCTCCACCAGAAATCAAAGCCTCCCGGTGGCGTGATTGGCCTTTACCGAGGTGCGAGCCCTAGGCCGAGGCCACCAGGGACGCACCCTCGGGGACGTGACCACCAGGAACGCACTCCCCCGGGCGTGGCCTCCCACGCACCACGGAAGCAGTAGGCGTCGAAGCGCTCTCCAGGTGCGGGGAAGCCGGTGCGGTTGGCGAAGCGGTAGACTGTGCGCACGCCGGGGACGGGACCCCCGCAGCGCCGGCGCGGCGTCTGGATCGGGTAGCGCACGCTGCCGTCGGCCAGCCAGCCCGGGTCGCACTGGTCCAGGCCCTCGTGCCAGGCCAGGTGCAGCTGCCCCACCGAGGCCAGCACGGCACCCTGGCGGCGGCACTGGGCGCGAGCGCCGGCCAGGGTCAGGCGGCGGGCCGGACCCACGTAGAAGACCTCCCCTGTGGGAAGGCGCAGTAAGGCGTGAGCGGAGATCAGGGGAGTCTAGGGGACCCTACCCCGGAGCCCGAGAAGTGGAGCCCACCAAATAGCTGGGACCTGACCAAAGAGGCCGCTGTAGCTTCTTTTTACAAATGAGGTACCTCGGGCTTCAGAGAAATGGAGGGGCTCAGGAAGGAGGATGAAGAGAGGGACGGGACGGGAAGAAGGTCAGAAAAGAGGACAAGGCCTCTGAGAGGGAAGAGGTGCAGACAGAGGGAAGGGGCACAGAGAGGGAGAGGGGCTCAAGGAAGGAAGGAAAGCTCAGGTAAGGAGTAGGTCAAAGTCTTGACTGCAGGTTTAAAGAAGGAGGAGACTTAAGAGGGATGGGGGTTGGGCGAAGTAACAGGGGCTCAGGGAAGGGGAAGGTTCTGCCAGCCCCAGACTTACCCCCCAGCTCACGGGCAAAGCAATACACATCGTAGAGTTCCCCTGGGTCGCGCCTTCCATAGCTCCTCACCCCTGGAAGGCTGCTACGGTCGCCATAGCAACCAGGGCGGGACTGGGTGATAGGATACCTGACAAGACAAGGAAGTGTGCTCCTGGGGCCCCCCAAGAACCATCTTTCCTCAGGGGCTGGCTCTCCATCTCCTCACCCCGTGTACCCTCTTACCGAACAGTGCGGTCAGAGAGCCACCCAGCGTCACAGTTGTCAAAGCCATCCTCAAAGGCGGCCTGCAGGTGCCGTGGGGCTGCAATGGTGGCTGAGCTGAGACGACAAGCCTCTTGGGCCTGGACGAAGGTCAGCGCATAGCGATCCTGGGCTGCTCGGTAATGGAACACAACACCTGTAAAGGAACATTCAGGATAGAGGGCCGATTTATTCTGGAATCTTCAAGAACAGACTTCCCTCTGCAGAATGCCCCACACCCTTCAGTCTGATAATAATAGAACTCCTGCCCTATGCTGGCCTGTTCCACCTTCGTTTACTCAGCACCAGACATGGCGCTGGGGCGATGGTGGGGAGTGAGACTGATATGCCCCCATTTTACAGATGAGGACGCTGGTAACAATGGCCAGAGAGGGCTCGAATTTGTTAAGTATTTACTACATAAAAAGCATTTTTAAACATTATCTCATTGAAATTAAGTCTCAGAGAGGTTCAGGGATATGGCCAGGGCCACACAGCCAGATTAAGGCAGAGCCAGAATTCCTATCCAGGAAGATCTGACTCCAAAGATAGCACTCTTCATGCCCAGGGTTAGGCCCTGGAGGTGACAGGAGACATGGAGAAGAGCAAGAGAGACTCTGCTATTTAAAAGTTAGGCACATGCATTGATTGGGGAAGCACTGGCAGCAATGGGAGATCAAATGTGATTATGGCCCAACATAGGCATGGGATCACAGAAGGCTTCTTGGAGGAGGTGACTTGTAGGTAAGTGAGGACATGAAGCCCATTATTGAACAGGCTTACTGTCAAATCCTGATTTAAGGATAAACAAATGCCTGAGCAAGACAGAGGGATGAAACTTTTTGCCCCGTCTTATCAAACTGAGAGCCCCCGGAAAGCAGCAGCTGCGTTTCCGTCATAACTGTGGCTTGGCCCCAGGCTGGCCTGTGGTAGGTACTGAATTAATATTGGGCATAATGAATGAATTGAACAAACCCAGATGTGAAAATTCTTCCCTCCTTCGCTTACTAGTTTTCTTCGAGGTTTATTGGTTTTGGGAAGTGAGGCCTTGGGAAGAGGATGACTGGTTAACCCCATAAAATATGCAGGGAGACGCTCTTGGGGTGGGAAGACTGTGCCCTAGGACAGGGGTCCCGGGACATGCCCCTGGCCAACAGAAGTTAAGCGATACTGACTTCCTAGCAAGGGTCTACAGGATATTTCCCGCGCCAAAAATGCATTCTCTGAGTCATTTCTCGAATATCTGTTGGGCATCTAGTGTGCCACACTCTGTTCTAGGGCTTTGAGGACTACTATTTACTTATACATTTCAATCAACTTTTTAAAAAGGAAACTTCCTTTCAACACTTTATTTTGAAAGGAAGTATATATTCCTATTTTAAACAGAAAGCCAATATCCCTTCCCTTCTGTGAAAATAGGTAACCATGAAATGTACTTGAAACATGGTTGTGAAATCCTATGGAGCCCTGTGGTCCACAAGAGACCGAGCCATAGGCTGCTCACTCTTAAGTAAAAGAGGGAGAGCTATTAAAGAGGCCATAGTACCAGTGGAGACTTGCTTTGGGACTTTATCAGAAACATTGAAAGGGAATTACTGATATTCACTGGGTGGGCTTTAGGTTCAGCCCCTCCCCCTCCCAGCCTTGGTCCCTCCCCTGCCCTCAACTGACCCGTCACCTCCAGGGACACCAGGTCCTGCTCATCCTCGATGCCCCTCACCACCTGGCAGCGGTAGAGCCCGGAGTCGCTGGCCCTCAGTGGCCCCAGTAGCAGCGTGCCGTTGGCCCGGTGCCGGGGGTAGGCGGGCAGAGACACACGTCCCTGCCAGCCCTTGGCCACTCGAACCACGTTGTTCTTGGCCACCAGGATGGGCAAGTCCTGCCACTGGCCTGCCGCGGTGCGCACCTTGGTCCACTTGATCCGAGGGGCTTCTCCAGCTGCACCTGGCCGTGGCCGCAGGGTGAAGAGACAGGGCAGGGCCACGAGCTCCGCCAGTGCAGCTCGCACAGAACCAGACCCCACCTTCTGCATGTGGAGCCCCTTCTCAGCAGCGGTGGTGGCAACAGTGGTGGCATCCTGTGTGCCTGGAAAGGGGAAGGTGGAAAGAGGCCTGACTCAGAGGCAAGGACCAGCAGAGACTGTTTCCTTCACTTTACAGGTAGGGAGACTGAGGCCAGAGAGATTAGGTTGCCTATACAATGGCATGATGCAGGGCACAGATCTGTAATCTGCATCCCTATCTGTAAGCAGAAGAGGAATGGGGTCAAATCCCTTTGTGGCTCTGCCTCCATTCAAAGTCCAGATCCCAGAGACCAGTGACTCTGTCACTGACTCACTGTGTGGCCATGGGAAAGTCACTCATTCTCTGAGCCACAGTTTCCCCAGAAGTTAAGGGAGAGGTAGCCATTGGGAGGGAAATGGAGTTTGTAGAGTACCTTCTATATAGCATGCACTTTATAGAGAGCAAGCAGCCTGTCTGCTTTTCATAACCATCTGCAGAGGTAGCTTCATGTCATCATCCTCTTTTGGGTGGGAGGTGTTTCTAAAGTCTGGGCTTTTGACTACCACTGGGGAGGTGCCAGGAGATACATACAGACCTTTATTGCCGTTGCCCTGCCCATGACAGGCATCACTAATCAATGTGCACACTGTTCTCTTCCCTCCCTCTCCCTCCTGCTTCCCCCATTCTTTTTCTCTTTCTTCTTCCTTCCCTTTCCATCCCTTTCGTCTCCCTCTCTCTCTCCAGCTCATCATAGCAAAACAGTGAGAGGCAGGAACCTCCAGCCTTTGCTGGCAATGACTAAAAATAACCTCTCAGGTGTCTTGTTCGCTTTTGACTGTTCAAAGACCTTTTTCATCTATTCTCGTTTTGTTCCCCACACCAAGCCAGGGAACCAGCAGAAGGCTCTTGAGCTAAAAAGCCACCCCATCCTGTCCGTCCCTCAGACCTCAACCTCTCCCACTGCATAGGCCAACTCACCCTGTTCCCCAGCCACCAAGAGCAGCATCTGGAGCACCAGGAGGCCTGAGGCCCAGACAGACATGGCCCTCATCCTGGACCTGGATCAAGAAGGAGATGGAGGGAGGAGGAGTGAGAACAAACCTCTCAGACAGTTGGCATCGAAAAACCAAGTGCCCCCTCTACAGATCTGGAAACTGGGGCTCAGACAGGCTAGTGTGTCAGTCAAGGTCACACAGGCAGCAAGCAAGGGCAGAGCCAGCATCCAAGCCCAGAAGCAGCTGACTCCAGAATCCCAACACCGATGTCTCATGGCCAGAAGTATGGGTGCTGGAGTGAATCAGAACCTGTGGTTTTCACGGTGTCTGTTCCTTGCTGTGTCACCTTGGGCAAAGAGGTTAGCTTCTCTGTGCCTCAGTTTCTTCATAGGTCAGAAGGGGATAACATCAGGTAGTTGATGGAATAGATGAGTCAATAGAGTCAATACCTATAAATTGCTTAGAATTGCCTGGCATGGAGTAAATTTCAGCTGTTATTATTATTATTGAGTTCAACAAAGGCAAGATCAAAATTTCATTTTTCAAGTTGGCCTCCCCATCATACCGAGGGGGTGGGGGTGGTTCCTAAAGAGCAGCAGCCAGTCCCAGGCTGCCTGGGGTCCCAGTCCTGGGAGGAGGCTGGCCTCCAAGCCCGCCTTTAATCTGGGTTTGCTGAATGACACGATTCTCAGCTTCAGTTCCAGGGTTTGGTTGTCGCCAAGACTCTATTCTTGGTTTCTGGGATTTTTGAGGTGCTGCCAAGTCCCAGGAGGAGGAAGGGGCCTTGCCCCTTCCCATCCTCCCCTCCTCCTAACTTCCTACTGCCTGGTGAAGAGATACTTCTTAGGTCCACAGAGACTCCAGCTGTGGGTCCAGCCTTCTATAGGAGCTGCAGCCCACGGGCATAAAATGGACAACTGAGTGTGAACTTTAAGCAAGGCCCATTCCAAGCACTGGGACACAGCAGTAACCTCCCTGATCTACTCTTCTAGACACTAGAAACCCTGGGGAGGGGACCCCTCTAGACAGACTCAGGACTCACCAGAGCTCAGGGGGTGCAGGCAGATGGCAAGTTAGAACATCACCTATAGACTCATCCCTTGTACATCTCCCCCTGAAAAGAATAGCCCTGAGAAGGAAGTGTGGGAGGAGTCCAGAATGGGGGTTTTGGGGGGACAGGTGGCTCCCTCCAGAGGGCCTTTCCCAGTTCCCAGCTGAGAGGCCGACCCGGGACCTGTCCGTGGTGCTGAAGTCGGGCAGCAGTGCAGCGGCTGTGCTCGCTCACTTGGTTTTCTTGTGGTGGGGCCCAGAGAGGGCTAGCAGTTTGCTTAGGGCTGCACAGCAGGGTAGAGCCAGACACTGGGACTGTCTGGCTGAGTGTTAGAGGGTAGGGCAGGACTCTGGGCTGTGTCTACCCCAGGAGGGTCTTAGGAAGGGGCAAGTTCAAAGACTTTTCTCTCTCACACACACTATGGTCAAGGGCTCAGACTATGTCCAGAAGGTAGGGCTTGCCTTCTGTTCCCTATGTGTAACATGACCCTAGACAGTTTCTCCACCTGTCAAATAGGGATCACCCTGCATATACCTCATGGAGATACTGTGAAGATAGAATGAGCTATAAGAATGAGGATAGAATGTGAAGTCCTAGATGTTAAATGAAAAAACAGCTTTTTGTGCGAAGCTTCATGTACATACTAAAATATTCAGAGGTGGCCCAGTATGGTGACACAGTTTCAGGTACAACCCTTATACACACATGCTCTCCTGCACACACTCAGTTCCCTCTACTTGCACCTCACACACCCCCACCCCTTCTCTTAAAATATCTTCTCCTCAGGGTCTTCAGAGGTGAACATTTATAGAGCTGTCTGGGGCTTGTCCCCTCATGAATAATACATAAGCCTCATGCATATGCAAATAAGGGTCTGCAGAGGGTGGGGGAGGGGCAGGCAGACAGGAGGAGATGTGGGGGGGGTGTCCCCCTCCTCATACCTACCTCTTGTCTCAGTGGGCACTGAGTGAGAGGGAGTGTGCCAATGGGCATTTTTTTTAAAAATGAATATTTATTTTTAGAGAGAAAGGGAGGGAGGGAGAGAGGGAGAGAAACATCGATGTGTGGGAGATACATCAATTGGTTGTGCCCCAACCAGGAACTGAACTGGTGACCTCTGGGTTCAAAGGCTTGCATTGAATCCACTGAGCCATACCAGCCAGGGCACCGATGGGCATTTTCGTGTGTTTGTGCCTGGGCGTGCATTGGGGTGCTGTGTCCAGGTGAGGATATCAATGAGGTTGTGCCCTGTGGTGTACGGACTTGTGTGTAGGTCCCCAGCAGCTCTGTGCACTGGGTGGAGCATAGGGGACTCCCCGTGGTCTCTGGATGTGAGTCTGAGTGCCCCTCAGCACTCAGGGAGTCAGGGGGTATGTGAGTGCATAGGCGTGATTGTGGAACTCCGCGGAGGAAAAAGGAAGCCGGCTCAGTAAATCATCCCAGGCTGCCCCTTTGGGACCTGAACCCCTTGCCAGTGTCTCCCTTTTAATGTCCAGCCCTGCACACAGACCACACAAACCTCCACACCCAGGGCCCACACCGCCAGTCTCCTGGAGAGGACCCTTTGCTGTGTACATGGGACATCACGCGCAGCCACACACCCCAGACAAGAGCCCGGGAGAGAGAGAAACACACACATGTTAAGATTCACAATGACATTAACAAAGAGACAATATGGGCACTTACAAGGCAAGCAGCACGTCTTCTGCACAAAGACACACCCCCACATTCTCAGGCTCCCCACATAAACCCCTTGATGAGGCCACACCATCAGAACAGCTCCCCACATGCACATGGGAATGGCAGACCTGGCACAGACTGGGCTGGATAAATGTGGCCTTAGTGACTGATGGGCACACATCATTTTGCCACCTGGTGATGTGGCCCTTGGCACAAGTTTCCTGACAAAGGCACATCTCTGTCACATTAGACTCAGAGAGGACACCAGACCACCCCCTCTCAATGGGTGCATACCCTCTCCCAGCACGGGGTAGACGCACGCACAAAGCCCCCACCTCCTGGAGGGTCATCGTCCATTTGGGAATGCCCAGAAGCCAGGGAGGCTGCTGGGCTCTGAGTTTTCACTGTTTGCCCACCCCTCCCTCCCTGCCCTTCCCCCAAGTCCCCCGCTGGGGCCCAGGGCCAACCCTCTCCTCAGCCTGGCTGTCTCCCATTAATGCTGCTGAGAGGAACAAAGCCCTGTGCACAGGGGTGGGGGTCGCTGCCGCCCAGGCTGGGTCTGGGGTCCCAGCCCCCTACTTCCCAGGGCCTGTGCCTCCAAATCAAACCAGGACTTCCACATGCAACCATATGGACAGATGGGTGAGGCAAGAGTCTGTCTCACTGTGAGGACACCGTCACATATGGAGGTGCTTGTGGCAGCCCCCCTGTTTGGACTAGTGCCCCTCACAGGTCCTGGGGACCCGTAACTGGTGCTTTAGGGGGGCTCTGACTCGTTATTCACCTGGGAGACCGAGTGTGCTCCATGGGAGAAGGGACAGAACCCCAACTCCAGGTTTGAGGGAACAACAAGGACCACCTTGGGAAGGAGTCCCCAGAGCCTTCTCCCTGAGTCAGGATGTGGTAACAGGACACGGGCCAAGGGGTCCGGGAGATCGCAGGGTACCCCTTCCTTGTGGCCCCTCACTCTCCGTGCAAACCCCTTCCCATTGGACTGATATGGGGCCCCCTTCCTGCTGCAGGCCAGCCTGGCACCTTTTATTCATCTGCAAATTGGGAATCCCCACTTAAAATCCTGGGGTGTCTCACTCAGACACTGGGGTGCCCTGTCCCAGCGTCCCCACATAGCATCTGGGTATCCCCCTCTTCTCTCTAAATTAGGGGTGCTCCTCCCCTGGCCTTGATTCCCAGTGCCCCCTCCCCAATTCTGAGGCCCATACCTAACCAGGCCCCCTCCCCACCGTGGAGTCGGCTCCGTATTCCCTAGACAACCTTAACCCCAAATCCAAGTGCCTCTGACATTTCCAAGCGCCCTCCCAGTTTGCGTTCTCTCCCCAACCCCGGGCTCCCCCTCAACCCGTAGCCCACTCCCCATTCCGGGGACATCTCTGTGATCACAGGCTCCCTCCCCAATCCCGAGCTATTTCTCTAATCCCGAGGACCCTCCCCCAAGAGGCCCCTTTCCTGCGACGGACCCCCACCTGTCTCCTAGCTCGGATGCATCCCTGGGCGGTTACCCGGCACAAAGGGCGCTCAGCTTGGCTCGCGAGCGCCAGGTCCAGCCCCTGCGCCCTGCGCTCGGCTAACCCCAGCGCCGCCTCAGCGCTTATAAAGGGGCCGCGGGGCTGTTCTGCGCATGCGCCCATGCCACCCCGACGCCTCAGGCTGCGAGAGGGAGGGGCCCCCTCTGCCTAAAACACCTTCCCCACTCCTTCCACCGCTCGCCCCACCCAGGGGGAAATTATGCCTTGCTTACTCTCATTCACTTCCCCCAAGAGCCACGTTAAATGTCCCCAGACATTTCTTGGTGGATCTGCCCCATCTTACAGATGGGAAAACTGAGCCCCAAGGAGACAAAGTCTCTTCCATGGTTGCGCGAAGGGGGAGGGCAGAGCTGGGACTCTAAACCTGGCCCACCTGACTCTCCAGGGCTCACACTTGGAGGAGTTTTGACTAGTTATTGTTTCATCCCATTTTTGGAGAAGAAGCTGAGAGTCAGGATAGGAAGATCCCTGGGTTCCACAGTTGATAAGAGACTCAAAGTGGGCCCTCACCTGTGTGGCTCGGCTGGGCGTCATCCTGCAAGACAAGAGGTCGCAGTTCCGTTCCCAGTCAAGGCACGTGCCTGGGTTGCAGGTTCCGTCCCAGGTGGGTGCACGTTGGAGAGACAACCAGTTAATGTTTCTTGCTCACATCCATGTTTCTCTCCCTCTCTTCCTCCCTCCCTTCCCCTCTCTCTAAAAATAAATAAGTAAAATCTTTTTTTTAAAAAAGAGAGAGAGAAACTCGCAAGGTGGGAGCCCAGGGGTGTCACACCCCAGAGCTGTTGTCACCAGCTCCAGCCAGAATGTACTATTAATACATTGCTTTGTCCAACCAGCATTTATGAAGCACCTTCTGTGGACCAGGTACTGTTGTCACAGGAATACTTTTGCTTTGAGCAGGTAGCATGTGTGTGTGTCTTTGCAGAAAGATGCCAATCTTAAAAAGCCTAGATCCATTCATGGACTATTACTCAGCTATGAAAAGGAACGGAGCACTGACACACACTGCCGTGTGGATGAGCCTTGACGTCATGCCAAGTGAGAGACGTGAGATACAAAATGTCACATGTCTTATGATCCCGTTTATTTGAAATGTCCAGAACAGGCAAATCCATAGGGACAGAAAGCAGGTTAATGATTGCCAGGAGGCTGGGAGGGAAGGGAACGGGGAGTGACTGCTATAGGGTTCAAGGTCTCCTTTTGGGATGGTGAGAATGTTCTAGAACTAAGCAGAGGTGATGGTTGCACAATAATGTGAATATACTTAATGCCACTGGATTATACACTTTAAAACGGTAAATTTTATGTTATGTGTATTTTACCACAATGAAAAATGGAAATGAAAGAGGACAAAAGCTTAAAGAGGTCAGCCCCTTCCCCTCTTCCTTCCCAGGGCCCTAGTCTCTCAGGGCCGACAATGGACTGCACTGGGCAGAGGGTCTTCATGTCCACCAAGGGCCCTGCATCTGTGTGGGGGGGGTGTGTATCTGTGTATCTCTGAGGGTAGGTCTCAGTCCCTTAGGGGGACAAGTTATTTCCAGCAAAATTACCAAAGAGGGAGTGGGAATGAGTGAAGAATGAGGGAAGACCCCAAGGAAGCAAGGCCGCCCCTATGTGTCAGTTCTTGTGTGTGTGCGCCCAGCCTCCCAGTCTGCCGGTGGGTGAATGGTGACCCTAGTGGCCAATGTGGCACACTGGGAATTCCTCATCACAGCGGAGGGACAGAGGTCAGAGACCATGCTAGCCTGTCTGCAGGACAGGCTGGCGTGACAGAGTTGTGGCTGGCACTGAGGTCTGGGTGTGGTTGTGTGACACGCACGGAAGCCGGGAGCTCGGCCTCCACGAGCCCAGCGTTCCAACCCCTCTCCTCCTCTCCTCACAGAGTGACTCTGGGCCAGCCATTTCGTTTTTCCGTGCCTCAGCTTCCCTGTCTGAAACAGGGATAATTAAGAGTCCTTACCACACAGAGTTGGTAGGAGAATGAGGTGGGAAGTAAATAAATACATATGATGGGGGTTGCTATCGTGCTGCTGCCCACTTTCCAGCAGGGGAAGCTGAGGCTCAGGGGATGGTTTACAGTTGCTCAGTATGGGTCAAGAGGGAGCCCAGGCCTGTGGCCTCAGAGCCAAGCCAATCCCCACCCCCGAATCCCTTCATCCCTCCACTCCCTCTTCTCCCCACCCCCTGGTCCATCTGGCTGGTGCCAGGGCTGAGCTTAGAGGGGCTGGCCTGGGGCCCAGGGGTGGGCTGTTGCCGGGGGCTTGAATGAGGCAACCTTGCCTGGGAATCTGCTGGGCTCAAAGAGCTATTTTATTTATAGGCCTGCACTGGGATTGGGTGAGCCACCCCCCAGCCCTGAGCGCTTCTCTGTCCCCGCCCCCCACAGGGGCCCCAGGCCAGGGGCCACTGTGAGTGGGTAGAGAGAGCAAGGGAAGGGGTCTGGAGGGACAGAGCAGGCTGGGCCTTCCAGAAGAGCTGGGTCTCAGGGGTGTCCCCCAAATGCCTCTCAACATACCCAAGGAAACACGCAGATATGGCACATGCAACCAGAGTCACATCTATTTTTTTAAAGATTTTATTTATTTATTGTTAGAGAGAGGGAAAGGGAAAAAGAAAGAGAAAGAGAAGGAGAGAAACATGAGTCGGTTGCCTCTCACATGCTCCTAACTGGGTCTGGCCCACAGGTATGTGCCCTGACCAGGAATCGAATCGGCCACCCTTCATTTTGCAGGACTGAACCACACCAGTCCAGGGAGATTTACATTTATCTTATACAAGGTCACAAACAACTGTGACACACAGTCACATCCTAGATATACAGGGATTGCACGGGGGTTCATATACAACCACAGCTGGCAAGGCCACATATAAGTCAAACAGACTGCACACAACCTCACATTGCCGTAAGCAAGTCATGCCTGCTGCACAATCAAGCACACAGCGGTGAGCCCGGCCCCACCTAGAGTCCCTTCGCATTTAAACATCTACTGCTTTTCGCACACCCCTGTACCTCAGCCTTCCTGGCTGCCACAGATAGCCCACATTTGCCCCATGTTGTTCACACCCAGCCATGTTTGCGGCCACGGGCACACCTACAGATAGCCAGCACCCAATCATGATCATCTGGCACCATATCACCAACACGGAGACATATGGTCTTTTCAGGGCCACACTCAGCAAAACCACTCATGCTCACCACTCAGCATGCCTAGTCATGGCCCAGGGTGTTCCCACATGCGCTCACCTCAGTCCCTTCATGCTCGGCCACCCCCCCACTCCTACTGTTACCCTCCCTTACCAGACTCCCAGGCTCACATCCTGCCAGAATCGACAAGTCCAGCTGGCACTGAGGGAGTGTCCGTCTACTCTGAGCCAGGACCCAGTGAATAAATCAGACCCAGATCTGTCCCCAGGGGGCCGCTGGCCAGGGGACCCCATCGCACTCACCTTTGAAGACTCTCCAGGCTGGGGCCTTGGGACAACCATTACACCTATTCTCCAGGGGGGAACCAAGGCTCAGCGACACTGAAGGGTCTTCCCTGCTCTGCTCCTGGATGACAAATTCATGGGAGGTGTGACCTATTTTCTGCCGTGAGTGAGGCTGCCTTCCCAGAAAGTCCCTGCTGGCCCATACTTGCTGTGTGACTTCAGCAAATCCCTGACTCTCTCTGAGCCTCCTTTTCCTCTCCTGAAAAATGCGGGACTCAGCCCAGTGAAGGGAACTCCAGAGTCAGACTGGGGTTTGAATCCTGGTCCCCCTGGGTGACTTTAGCCAAATGACTGCTTTTCTGTGCCACGGTTTTCCTCAGTGAGCCAGAATTGCAGCTCCTGGTTCTTCTGAGCACCCTCTGCTCCATCCTTAACGGTGAGGGGGAAGGGAGTGCTCAGTCTCTCCTCGCTCAAGCAAATGAATGGACCACTTTTGGCTGCCCTGCTGGGAGCTTACAGCTGGTAATTCCTTGGAGAAACAGGAGGCTCTTTCATGCCCAGGCGCCAGTGGGGTGAGGAGGTGGGAAAAGGATATGAGCTGGCCTCATCCCAGTGGGCAAGGCGGCTCAGTGCCAAGACCAGGAGTGGTGTGGAGGGCCCTGGGACAAACATATTCTCCCTGGGGGACATTGGCCCAAGCGGCTATACAGTCAGCTGTAAAATGTAGGTGACATAGACCAGCACAGCAGGTTTAATAAGCCAGTGGACGGAGACAAAATGTGGTTTCAGGTTAAACACAGGGTTAGCTCTCAACAAAGGCCAGCACTGTGGCCATGCGTCATCCCAAAGAGCCCACTAAATTCGCCAGCAGTTCTAGAAATAGAATTCCCTCCAGTTCACAGATTAAAAAAAAAAAAAATCCTTTCTCGGGTCCTCGCTTCCAAGATGACGAAGAAAAAGGAACAACGGTCGTGCCAAAAATGGCCATGGCCATGTGCAGCCTATTTGCTGCACCAACTGTGCACGACGCATGCCTAAGGACAAGACCATTAAAAAGTTTGTCGAAACAGAGTAGGGGCCACTGCCATCAGGGACATTTCAGAAGCGAGTGTCTTCGACACCCATGTGCTCCCCAAGCTGCATGTGAAACTGCATTACTGTGTGTGTTGTGCCACTCACGGCAAGCTAGTCAAGGATCGTTCTCTTGAAGCCCAGAAGCATCGAACACCTCCACCCTGATTCAGACCTGCGGGTGCTGCCCCACGGCCTCCGCCAAAGCCCATGTAAGGAATTAAGTCCTTAAGGACTGAAGAAAAGTTCTCTGGAAAAAAATAAAATGGAAATTGTACTTAAAAAAAAAAAAGGCTCGGAGGTTCACATGCTTGTCCACGACCACACAGGTAGTTAGTGAGTGGCCCAGCCAGGATTTGAACTGATCTGGGGCCGCCAGGGTCCACGCTCTTCTTAACTTCCTCTGGGGGAATGGAAGTGTTTTCTGCCACGTCCAACCCTGATCCTGAGACCGGCAGAGCCAGGTCTGGATGGTACCAGTTCATGACTGAATACAGGAAGTCCTGGCAGGCGGGGGCCGATGGGGCAGCTCTTCCGCTAGTGTCCCAGTTTCTCAGCCAGCACCGCCTCCTTGAGCGGGCTTGGGCAGACGCTAGTAGGGTGCCAGGAGGACCATTCCCTCAGCCCTTGAAGAAAGGGGCTGGGTCTGAGACCATTCAGCGGAAGCCAGGAACCACGGCCTCCTGGCAGTGGCTAATCTGTCTCAGAACCCTCCATTCATGCAGATCGGATGGTGTCCTGCCCTTTCTCAAACACCTTCCGTGACTGCTCCAGACCCAGCAGGATCTGGCTCCACATATTTTATTCAAATTCATGGTCTTTCACCCAGCTGGGCTTTTGGTTATGCTGTTTTCCATGCCTGGACCCTACAAAGCCCCAGATTTTTCTCACCCTGGTGAGAAAATCACCACCCATTTCTAATGGGTGGGAATTTCTACCCACCCATTAAGGTGCAGCCACAATATCTCCTCTTCCAGGAAGCCCCTGTACTCCTGCTACCTAGGCACTATCTCTTCCCTTGGCTTAGCCCTGGCGCCATGGGCCCGGGAGTGTGTGTGTATAGCTCTGTAATACCCAGATTGGGGGCTCATCAAGAATGAGGTTGGAACTGAGGCCTCTCACAGTCCCCAGAACCATCCAACACAGGGCTGGGCAGTAGAGAGTGGCAGGAGTTGTTTAGTGAATCAGTGAACCAGATCTTTAGCCTGGTGTCTGAGGCTTTGTGTGACCTGGTTTGGCAAACTTCTGTTCATCCTTCAAAATACACTTCACATGCCACCTCCTCCAAAAAGCCCATCCCAGGCCGCATTAACTGGGAAGAAAGATTTGAAGCCTAGGCCACACGAGTCTGATGAAGACTCCTTATAAACGCAGTATCATGACCTCTTCTTTTGGCTTCTGGGAGGCAGTAAGGTACATGGGTTCCCAGGCTGCATTAGCAGTTAAGAGATGGATTCGGCAGGCTTCCCTCGGTAGGTCTCCAAAACCAGGGCTCCATACTGGTGGGCACCAAAGAACAGCACCCCCATACATAGTCCACAAATAGTTGCTTTTTTTCTTTTCTTTCAAATTTGCAGTGGTCTCGATGCATGTCATTAATTTGTTCTGGAACTTGTGACAAGTGCAGAAACTAACAAGTACAAAACGATGAAGCATTTTTTCTTGTCGGGCAGCGTTGTGACTCATACAACTTCTAGCAAGTGTGATGAGTTCCCAGCAAGCGCTGAGTACTGAAACATTTGTTTTTTTCTCGTCAAAGTGAGTACAGGGTTTGACGAGTTCTGAGGCCAACGAGTACCGAGGCATGACTGTATTTTTAAAATCCTCACCTGAGGATATATTTATTGATTTTAGAGAGAGGAGTAGGGAGAGACAGGGAAACATCAATCAGTTCCCTCCCCTGCACACCCTCACTAGGGATTGAACCCTTGACCTTTTTTTTTTTTTTTGAAATCTTTTATTTAATTTTTTTTGTTGTTGTTGGGGGAGGGAGGGAGATAGAGAGGAAGACAAACAGCGAAACATCAATCCGTTGCCTCTCACACACTCCCAGCCGAAGGCCTGGCCCGCAACCCAGGCATGTGTCCTGAACCGGAATAGAGCCGTGACCTTTAGGTTCGCAGGCCGGCGCTCAATCCACTGACCCACACCAGTCAGGGCTGAACCCGCAATCTTCTGATGTACAGGAAGACACTCCAACCAACTCAGCAACCCGACCAGGGCCACGAAGAGTTGCTTTTAGGTGCCAGCCCTCTTAGCTCAATGACTGGACTGGGGCCCTTTAAGAGGCGGGCACTCAAACCCCGCCCCGGGGATGACGCCTGCGCGGCCTGAATCTCTTGCCTTTTGCGCCGGGTCCATGCGGTTCCGGGTCTAACTTTTGGTTTTCCATTCCCAAAGAAACTGAGGCTCGGAGCCGGAGCGAGCACCCGAAACCCACAGGACACCTGGCCTCGGGTCACTAGCAGTTTCCCCGAAACCTCCAATTTTCCTGCAAGGGGTTAACCAAGAAGACATTCAGGACTGGAGCGGGTGGGGCAGTGACGGTTCCTGTCCGGTGTTGCAGGTGAGGGTGTTCAAACTCAGAAGACAGGGTCTCGCTATTGTGGCTGCGTTGGCGCCGGGACTCGAACCTCCTGAGCCCAACTCTGAGCCGTGAGGTCTTGTGGAGCTGAAATGACTCACTCTTTGGTTTGTGCAGACACAGTGAGCAGGTGAGGACCCGGGGAGGCGTGGCCGGGCAGTGGCAGTACCCTCCGCGCTCTGCGGTTTGAGCTCCCTGTGGACAGAGCTCGGGGTTTGTGGAGCGGGTGGTAAGGAGGGGACGGACCCGGTGCTGGGTTCAGCCCCTCTCCTTGCCGTGAATTTGATGCGTCTAGGGTGAGTTCGGTGCTGAATCGCAACACGCGGCAGTTTGGAAAGAAACACCTGTTTGACCAGGACGAGGAGACGTGCTGGAACTCGGACCAGGTGAGGAACCTCCCTGGACCTTCCACCATCGTGTGAATCAGATCCAGGGGTCCAGGGTGCCTTAAGATCTCCAGAGCGCCACAGCTGGGCTCTTTCGGGTTGGTCAGGAGGGACCATGTGCTGAATCCTCCCACCATCAATAGGCTATATGAAAGAATGCATAGTACTGCTTTCAACCTAGAGTGACTATGGAGCTGCTTCTCTGTGTGCTTCCAGGGCCCCTCCCAGTGGGTGATACTGGAGTTTCCCCAGCGCATCCGTGTATCCCAGCTACAGATCCAATTCCAGGGGGGCTTTTCCAGTCGCCGAGGCTGCCTGGAAGGTATTGGAAGGCCCTGGAATAGGGGGAAAGGAGGTGGGAGGGGGCACCCCGTCTTCACAGTCTGCCCCTTTCTCTGCTGCAGGTTCTCAGGGAAGTGAGGCTCTCAGTAAGATTGTGGACTTCTACCCCGAAGACAACAACTCAATTCAAATATCCTGCCCTGGCCTCTGGAGTGGGGGTGGTCTGCGCCCCTGCAAGCTGCAGGCCCTGCGTATGACCTTGACCAAGTGGCCTCTAGGCCTGCATTACTTCACCTATGAAATGGGCTGATGGTAACCTGTTCTGTGAGTCTCAGAGGGGCCCACAGCTTGATGTCTGAGTTGGGACTGGGTGGGGCTAGGCAGACAGTTAAATGACAAACCACCTGTTTCCCTTGACGGCTAAGCTCACACGTTCCCTGTGCCAGCTGCTGAGGTGGACCAGCTAAAGGTAACTTTTGAGGACGCCACTGACTTTTTTGGCCGTGTGGTCATCTACCACCTGCGAGTGCTAGGGGAGAAGATTTGAGGCCACTGGGCAGGCGCCTACCCCAGGAAACCCTTATGGAAGCACAGCAAAGTCCATCAAGTTCTGCACAGGTTTATTGATTTCTCCTGGGAAGGACCCTCTCCCACCGTCTGTCCAGGAACTGCCTTTGAAGCCAGTTCTGGGGTCCCCCAACTCTGGGTCAACCATTTTATTCCCTGAGTGTCTGAGTCCCTGGGGGGCAGGTGGTCTTCACTCGGGGTCATCAGGCACCAAGTTACTCTGGAAGAGTTTGAGGATGTGGTTCTCGATCACCTGTTGCACTGGAAACAGGACAAAGAAAAGGAGGACCATGAAGGAAATTGGGGCTGCAGGGGCACAGACCCACCTGCATCCTCCCTTCAGGGGTTGCCCTGGGGGGTCCTGCCCTGAGAGCTGCACCCTCCCCTCTGAGGCCTCCCTGCACGGGGACATGGATGGAGGTCCCACTTTGTACATGGGGAAATCCATGCCCTGCCCAGGACACAGCTGGGAAGACGGAGGCCCCTATCCCAGGAACCTCAATTTCCCCTAAGTTTATAAAAATGTGTTTTTGGAGGCATTTCAGAGTTACAAAAACATTTCTTACAATACAAAATTGGTGAATTATGGTATTTATGAAAGAGTAAGAAGGGCTATGAGGATTGATTTGTCCCAAATGGAGGAAGGCTCCTTGCAGCAAGGAGGGGACATTTCTCAAGCCCTCAATCCCCTCCATGACTCCAGGGGGTTGCTCTGTTAGGATCATCCTGTTTCATGGGTGGTGAAGCAAAGGGAGAAGTGGAGAGTCAAGCTGGGATCTCTGTTTCCACCCACTCTTGCCTCAGAGAGGGTGGCCAGGCCCCCTTCCTCTGGGTTTCCTCACCCTGCCAGGCCTCTGCATGTGCTGTTCCTCCAGCCTGGACCATCCTTCCCTTGGGGCTCCCGGAAGCTCTCCCTGACCCCTATGCATCCTTAGTTAGGGCCAGGGCTTCCTTTGGGCCTCTTAATGCCTGAGTGTCCCGTATCATGATCCCAGTCACTGACACACATTGGCCTCCACCTGCAGCTCACAGGCAGCCCTCTGGGAACCAGGCCTAGCATGTGCCTAGGCCAGGTACACAGAGGCACTCAATGTTTGCTAACAGGAACTCACTGCCAGCATCTGACATTCAAGAGGGATGTTCTGTGTCCCCTCTGTGGTCACCCCACCTACAGCAAGCCATCACTGCGACATGTGTCTCAGGCTGACCTTTCCGGTATCCGAGAGCCACGGCGAGGTCCATAGGGGTGTAGCCAGAGTCGGCCTCAGTGGTGAGATCAGCTCCTCGGGCTACAAAGCAGAGCAGGTGCTGCGGGGGGCGGGGGAGGGGGGGGGACTGGAAGCCCAGGATGGGACACAGACTCTGGAGATCCAGTGACACCCAGTAATGCAGCCCCAGATCTGCCAGTTACCCATGTGGCCTTGGATGAGAGTCTGAGTTCTCCTGAGAATGTGGCCAGCAGGACCCCCACCTCCAGGGTCCCAGAGGCCAGACCCCTCAGGATTCCTGCAGTGCTAACTAGGGCTCTGGGCACCCCGCCAAGAGCCAGCCTGTAATCTCTCTCACCCAGCAAGGCTTCCACGCACTTCACATGGTTCCCACGCACGGCATACAGCAGTGGTGTCCCTCCATTCTGTCGGGCAGGAGCAATCAGCACTCTTTACTGGATTCTCACATCATCCAGCAACCTCCAATTTAATGTGGTTCCTCCTGTTTGTCACCTGGCCCATCTAGCTTCTCCTTTGGGGCTCAGCTTAGATATTCCTCTTCCAGGTAGCCCTCTCTGACCTCCCTTGGTTGTGTAGGCTGCCTCGGCCCTTGCAGCTGCCTCTGCGCCTGTCATTGCAGCTACATCTCAGCTGACTGTTTATGTACTGGCTCCTCACCATCCCCCTCTAAAAAACTATGCTCTCTGAGGCTTGGGGATGAGCCTGTCTTGTGTTCTTAGCATCCAGAGCAGGCCTGGTGCGCTGCATGGAGCCCAAGGCCGGCAGGTGGTGCCTCACCCAGTCGTAGATGTTGATGTCCACATCACGCTCAAGCAGCAGCCCCACGATGTCTGTGTAGCCACCAGTGCTGGCCAGTGACAGGGCACTCTCTCGCTCCTTGGCCAGGATGTGGGGGTCAGCACCCTGGGGGAAGCAGAGGTGGCAGTGACAGGAGGGGGCACAGAGGGAGTGGTGAGGGGAGGAGTAGGAGAATTCCCTGGAATCCTGAGGTCCCCACAGCAGCCGAGACCTGGCCCGCCCTCAAGTCCCTGGAAGCCCCTAGCTGGACAGGGACGCACCCACTCAAGCAAGAAGCGGACGGTCTCGATTTCTCCGAAGGCGGAGGCCCAGATGAGGGGGGTGAAGCCACGCTCGTCCGGCTTGTTGATGAGGTTGTCGCCTGGCAGGAAGGGTTGGTACCACTGGGCTGCACCCCTGCCCACTATCCCCAAAGCTGTGGGAGCGGGGATTGAGTGGGCGCACTGGGGTCAGATGAGAGAACACATGGATGCACACAAGTGGCCCCACTTGTACACACATGTAGACAAAGGCGCATGTGGACACTCACGGGTCACAAGACCACCCACATGCACATAACCAGTGCATGAGGTCAGACAAAGACAGATACACCAGTGCATGGGCGTGGACACATACCTTTCCTCAGATGCTCCTTCAGCTGGCTCAGTTCTCCCTGGGCTGCGAGCTGGTGGATGGACAAGGCTGGGACCAGACAGAGGCAGTGTTCTCACCCGCCCCATCCCTGCTCTCTGCCTTAGTTTACTTCCTGTCCCAAGTTGCTCCTCTCAGCCCTGCCACCCTGCTACCCCGTACCCTGTGGGGGCTGGGGGCCACTCACAGTCCAGGGTGGCAGGCAGGGCTGAGATCTCATTCCCCCGCTGCCGGTTGGTGAGGGTCGTGGAGTGCTTCAGGGAATTGCCTGGTGGGAGAGAGGAAGTGTTCTGGGGCTTCAAGCCAGAGCATGTGGGCTCAGAGCTACCGAAGACACAGTGTGATTCCCCCATTCACTCTCCACTGATGCTACTGGAGCTGAGCCCTGAGAAGCTGGAAGCTGCAGGACCCCCTGCCCAACCTGACGATGTCCCCATAGACATCAAAAGATCATCTGAAAACCTAAAGAATTTGGAGACTCTTGCTCCTCAGAAAAAGGCAACTCTCGGAGTACCCTGAGTGGGTGCTTGGTCCCTGCCTGTCACCAGAGATGTTAAATAAGTGACAGGGGAAGGCCATCCAGTCTCTAGAGATACTGGCAGCTTTGGGGTCCTGTTGCCTGTGTGGAAGTCACGCCCCAGGTCCCTGAGGAGTGGCCCAGGTTTCCTTTTGGGGTGATGGGAATGTTCTAGAAGTATAGACAGAGTTTGGGGTTACACAGCAATGTCAATGTATTTACTGCCACTGAATTACATGCAATTATGGTCAGAATGTTAACTTTTACGTTACATGGATTTTGCCACAATAAAAACAAATAAGCAATCCTTCACTGGGTAGAGCTGGAAACGTATGTCCTAGGTGCTGGGACATAAAGACAGAGGCCCAATTTTGGGTCTGGCATTCCACAGTCTTTGCGTCTCAGAGGCTGGGGCCCACGGCAAGTACCTACCCTGAGGTGAAGAGGCACCAGCATCGGGCTCAGGATTCCCAGGCTCTGGGGTGCAGGGGAAGAGACTGAGCACCACTGTGTCTGAGCCATCTGGGGCCTCATCGCTTGGGTCTTCAGGGTCCCCAAATTCTAGGGTAGGGGGCTGCTGAGTCAGGCTGAGGTCTTCTGCAGGCTGGGAGGGCTCCATGGGGGAAGCTGGAGGCACAAAAGGGGAAAGATGACAGTAACTATCAAAACTCTTATTAAGTGGGCACCAACTGCATAATCGGCCTTCCAAGGTGAGGATGGGTAAATACAAGCTCAGCCGGGAAACTAAATCAGAGTTCAGTTGCTTTTCAGACCCATCCCTCCCCACCACCAGTACACATAAAACAGGCATTGCTTCAAAGCCTTGGTTCTAGGATCAACTCTCTGGGTTGGAATGCTTGCACTTACAGGCTCTAAGAACTTGGGCACATGCCTTAACTACTCTGAACCTGTTTCCTCATTAATAAAATGAGAAAATGAGGTTTAAAAGAAGTCATGTCTGTACAAAGCTGGGCAGTGGGCCTGAAACACCAGCAGAACTTAACAAAGGTTTGCTGTAGTTATTTTTTGGAGGGTGATCCCCATAATAACTGAGGGCTCAACAAAACTGTAATGGTCCCATCCCACCTGCCCCTCCCAAGGCGATCCAGGAGGTCCACTCACCTCCAAAGAGCTTTCTGTCACCCCACGCCGCAAGCCCGGGTCCCCCAAAACTTGGAGGCCAAATTCACAAACTTTTTCCTCCAACTGAGGCAGTGGGGAGCAAGCTGGAGTCTGAACCCTCGGCGCCTTGGTTTTTCTGTCGGGACAGAGAGCAACTTGATACGCGACCACTACCCCCACCCCAGAGCTTCCCCACTGCGCCTGCGCACCCCGCCCCCCCAAAAGTGCGGAAGGGCAGGAGCAGTAGAAGCTGCTTCTGGCCCTTTAAGAATTGGGGGAGGGGCGTGCTTTCCTCTGAGAGCCTAGCTTTGCAATTGCGCCTGCGCATCCTATTCCCGGGTGCCCTGGAGCGGGGTCCAGAAGGACGGGGAAAATGGGCGGAGCCTCAGAGGGCTCTAACGCTGTCACTGCGCTTGTATTCCTCCACCACCCCCAGCTCCGCCCATAGCTTTTTGGGAGCCAATCGGCTCCAGTATCGGGCGGATGGGCAGCCGTCTCTCCCGTCGAAAGGCTAGGGGTAGGACGTAGGCGGGGCGTCCGGGACTTAAAGGGGCAACATCATTGTCCACCCCGAACAATGTTCCTTTTGAGGTCTTGTGGGCTCGTGAACATGTGCAGGGATTTGATGGCTGTAGTGGGGTACAAAGAGGCCGTTTATACGGCCCGAAGTGATTGGTGTGTGGAGCGTTCCCCCAATTCATCCACCCCTGAAAAAGAGGGTTTCAGGAAGGGGGGGGGCGCCCTGGCCCCTCCCCGCTTCGGTGTAGATTCAGGGGGTCCTTGCTCCCTCCTCACCTACCTTCCTGTTGACCCCTTCTCCAGTTTCTCACTCACGGCCCTTCTCCTGTCTAGTAGAGACGGAGGAACAGAGAGGACAGGCCAGTTGGTATTGGAATTGTGGCAGGGCCAAGTCCTTTTTCGCAGGAGAACGTTTAGGCAGCTGTCACCACCTCCAGACTTCCGGTTCCGGTTCTCAGTTTTCACAGGCCGCCGTCGCTATGGAGGAACCGGAGATGCAGCTCAAGGGGAAGAAAGGTAATGCGAGGCCACGGGCTGGAGGCAGGTCCCGGGAACGCGCGGAGGGGCAGCCTGAGAGAGGGAAGGAGGAAAGGGACAAAGGCAGGAAGGGAGCGTGAGGAAAGAGATTGAACTGCCATCGAATCCTGGTGGCCGCAGACTAGCTTTGGAATCTTCAGAAAGTCCCCGTGCCTCGGTTTGTCATCTGTAAAATGGGAAGTATAGCTTTCCTCCCTCCCCTTATAGGTTTGTGAGAACTCAATGACCTGATACTTGTATTGCATTGGAAGAAAGCTTGGGATATGGCAATCGCTGTGCGTCTTGTTGCTATATAGATTTACGCATTTGTGTATGTTTACATTGACTCATCAAACATTTATAAAGCACATAGTTACAAATTACAAAATGCCACAAACTTTTTAAGTTATAAAGTTTTTTGTTATTTAATTACACGTGTCATTTCTAGTTAGAAGGCACACGTACATTTAATTCCACCTCTTTTGTAACAACATTGAGTTACAAGTTAATTACATGCTCATTTTTGAGATGAGGAGGCTTAAGAGGGCAAAAGGTTCTATAATCTATACAGTTTGTTAGATTATATTTACTTTTTTAGAGAGGGGGAAAAGAGGGAGAAAAAGGGAGAGAAACATCAATATGTGAGAAATCCATTTCTCCGTTGCCTCTTGCACGACCCCAACTGGGGAACCTGGCCTGCAACCCAGGCAGGTGACCTGACTGGGAATCAACCTGCGACATTTTGGTTCTCAGGCTAGTGCTCAGTCCACTGAGCCACACCAGCCAGGGATATAATCTATACAGTTTGGAGGTAGTAGGCTGTACCAGTGAGCTGCGTTCACACTGGACAGACTCATGCACAACCTCCCTTGAATCCCAGATGCACCAGGGTTCTGTCTTGCCAACCACACTGCCCTGTGCAGTAGGATAGGTTCCACCTCTGTAGCAAACCTCGAGGATCGGTACTATTTTCATTACATTTTTACAGATGAAGAAACTAGGCTCAAAGGAGCTCCTGCCCTCACAAATCCAAGTTTTTTTTTTTTTTCCTGTAAACATGTAACCTAGTAAAGAATAGAATTTACATACAAGAGAAGTAAACAATGTTGTGGTTGAGAATGAGGGACATCAGATTAAGCTTGGTGACCGGGGAGGCTTTGCCCAGGAGGTGACATTTCAGCTAAGATAGGAGGAATGAAGACAAGCCAGAGGGAAAAAGGGTGTGTCAGTGGCAGGAATAACAGAATCAAAGGCTCTGTGGTGGCAAAGTGCTCAGAGTTGTGCTTTAATGCAGTAGCTACTGGTCACAGTATTTATGGATATTTAAATTAATTAACATCAGGTAAAGTTAAAAATTTAGTTTCTTCCCTTGTTGGTGTGGCTCAATGGATTGAGCACCGGCCTGTGAACCAAAGGGTTGCCAGTTCAATTCCCAATGTAGGGCACATGCCTGGGTTACAGGGCAGGTCCCCAGCAGGGGGCGCACAAAATACAACCACACTTTGATGTTTCCCTCTCTTTCTCCCTCCCTTCCCTTCTCTAAAAATAAATAAATAAAATATTTTTTTTTAAATGTAGTTTCTGAGTCACATTAGTTGCATTTCAAGTGCCCAGTAGCCACCTGTGGCTAGTGGCTACCCTATTGGACAGTATAGATTATCGAACCTTTCAGTCATCTCAGAAAATTCTTGTGGACAGTGCTGGGAGGGTCCAAGTAATAGCCAGGAGGCCATTGTGCCTGGATGGGAGATGAAGAGGACAGGAAGGTCAACAGCAAGCAGAACACAGGACCTTAGGGGGCCATGGTTGGGGAGGCAGACTTTCTTCTCTGGTTGATGGGGGAGTTCCAAGCAAGGGAGGGACATACATGTTATGTTCATTAGGAATTCACTCCATCTGTTGCGAGGAGATGGGACTGCTGGCAGGAGGGGAAGCAGGAAGAGCAGGAGAGGCTGAGTCTGGCATCCAGGTGGGAGGCAGCCATACCTGGACCAGCAGGGTCAGTGCAGTGCTAAGAATGAGTGAAGTTGGGCTTTGTTTTGTGGCAGAACCAGAAGGATCTGCCCGTGGGAGGCAGGGATGACCAGCTGGCAGGGAATGCAGACCCTGCGATGAGGATTTGTGTGAGGAACCTACCAAGAGAGCCCCACAGGGGAGAAGGGGAAACAGGACAGGGCTGGGGAGGAGGCTGAGCAAGGAGCAACCTCACAGAAAATCCTTCAGAGTGAGGCCTCAGCCTGCTTGGGCAAGGGAGTTAGGGGATGAGTCACTCCTCTCAATTGTCCCATCATAGAGCAAGGGACATGGACTTTCATACCTCTCAGTGGTCAGTCATGGCTGAGGGCTACCCATAGATAGAAACTTCCAGGCACTTTGGGATCCAGTAATCAGTGGATCCTTCGAGGAGAAATCTCAGACTTATTCACTAGGGTAAACAGAACACGAGGGGATGACAGTGAGCAGCAGCAGTGTCCGCGCCCAGTGGGCTTAGGAAGGGAAAGATCACAAGTTTGCTGGACGCGTTGACAATGTCATGAGTAAGGCCTTCTGTGACCACCTCCTTCAACCTATCACCTAGGCCACAGGTGACTCAGTTGCTGCAGGGGACACCAGAGACACCTTACTGCTCTGGCTGGGCTTCCAGATTGAGCAATCAGGAGTCTTATGCTTTGTCTCTTTGTGTCTGTGCACCCCCTTCTCTTACTCTGCCGCCTCCCACACACTGACCGTCAATCCTGGACCCAGTTACAGACAAGTTCACTGAGAGCGTTTACGTCCTCGCCAATGAGCCCTCTGTGGCCCTGTACCGGCTGCAGGAGCACGTGCGCCGCTCTCTGCCAGAGCTGGCCCAGCATAAGGTGAGCCACATGCACCCCTGCCACCAACCCCCACAGGGCCTGCACATCGTGAGCTAGGGCCTGCTGGTAGAACAGCAGCTACCGGAGTAAGAGTCAAGGCTGGGCCACCAGCAAGGAGGTGTGTGGTCACTGAGCAGGTTGGGGCCATGGGTGGATAGATCTGGAGCAGATTTGGAAGAAGGGACAGCAGGACTACATTAGTTGTGACTTGTGTGGTGGGAAGGAAGCAGCTGTGTGAAGACCAGAAGGAAGAACATGCCAGCCAGAGGGAACAGTCAATACAAAGGCCCCAAGACATAGTAGCCAGCTGTTCACAGAAAGCCTGGACTTGTGAGGAAAGGGAGGGGCCTGGAGGAGGCCAGTCTCTGCAGCCGTGCTGAACAGGTGCTCAGTCCTAGAGAGCTGGGAGGATACAGGTGGCAGCCTCTCCCCCTAACAGCCCCCTGCCTCCCACAGGCCGACATGCAGCGGTGGGAGGAGCAGAGCCAGGGAGCCATCTACACAGTGGAGTACGCCTGCAGGTGAGCACCCGGGGTCACCTCCTGGGCATTCAGAGGCATCTCAGCCAGCTCCCCAGTGAGCTCTGTCCTGCTGAGCCCACCTGAGTGGGGAGGCATGTGGATCTCAACTCACCCGGCCACACAGCAGGTTCCGGCCTAGGCCTGCACTTCTCACTGTTTGCTCAACCTCTGTGTGCCTGGGGCAAGCCTCTCCCCAGCACTGAGCCCGTCCCCATCTGTCATAGCAGGCAGTAATAAGGATTGGGAAACATAAAATTTCTCAACCACTTCTAAGTGTATAGTTTAGCGGCATCAAGTACATTCTCATTGTCCAACCATCACCGCCATCCGTCTCCAGAACTTTTCACCTTGCATAATCGAAACTCTGCCTCCATTAAACCCTAACTCCTCATCCCCACTGCCCCACCCCCTGGCACCCACCGCTCTACTTTCTGTCTCTATAATTGGACTACTCTAGGGACCTCACGTAAATGGAACCACACAGAATTTGTCTTTCTGTGTCTATCTTCTTCCATTAAGCATAATGTCAGGGTTCATCCATGTTTTAGTATGTGTTGGAATTTTCTTCCTTTTTAAGGCGGAGCAAAATTCCATGTTTTGTTTATCCACTCATTTGTCAGTGGGCATTTGCATTGCTTCTGTTTTAGCTATTGTGAATAATACTGCTGTGTGTGTACCATTTATTTTCTTGTTTGTTTAATTTTCTGTAAATCTTCAGGTTGGTTTTTTCTCCCGAAGGGGAAAGATGCCTGAGGGTGAAATGCAGTAGTTGGTGTTTCTTCGCATTATGGCAGCTGTGCCGGCCTTGTCTCCTGTGCTGTTGGTTCCCCCAACAGTATTCGGTGCCCTGGCTTGTTCCATTTGCCTCGGGAGTTTGGCTACTTTATTTAGAAGTGCCGTTTGCTCCTGGCACGACCTGTGGGTCATTTGGTGAAGGCTGGACACTCCCAGCACTTCTCATCTGTGGCACCTTGGGGTCTGCTTGCCTGCGTCTGTCGTGTGGGTGAAGGTTCCTTGACAGGAAGTCCTGCTGCCAGGGCCACTGAGCTGCGTGTTCTGCCATCCGCAGTCCTAGCCCCTCTACGGGACAGGAGGTGATTCGGACAGATGACATCTTCCTGAGGATGGTGGTTGCAAACACCCTCCTTAGCTCAAGGATGAATAGAAAAGAAATAAGATTTCCTCTCTCAGGGCTGCCGAGCAACTCCTGGACAGCTGTGACGTCACCCGCAAGGTCCACACTAACGGAAGAGTGTGTCGAAGTCCCTCCTTTCTCTGGGCCCTCTCGCTGCACCATCCGACTCAGGAGCCGGGGCCACCAGGGCTGCACACTTAAATCTCAGTGCATTAAAATGAAATAAAATGAAAGATTCAGCTGCTCAGGCTCGCTAGTCACATTTCAAGTGGTGAGCAGCTATCTCAGTGGATAGAGAAAGTGTTTCTCAAATTCCAGAAAGTTCCACTGGACCATGTTGGACTAGGCAGGAGTCCAGTGAGCCCTGAGCTGTGAGTGCTTCTCTTCAGTGAGAAGCGAGTTTCTCTAATGCTGAAAGAACACGTTTCCTCTATGGACCTGAAAGAGCCCTTGGCTGTTAGTTTTTTGAAATGCAGTGTTAGCAGTTGGTGTAAAATTGAAAGATGTTAAATTGGGGTAAACTATTCAGCAGTGAGCTAATATGAGTGAGTTTTTTAATCAAGTTGGGCAATCAAATACTGGAAAAGCTGACTGCACTTGGTGGCATAAGATGAACAAGTTAACAGAGTGGGTAACAGCGAACACTTCTCCTCCTTGATCTCAGTGCCATTTTCAAGCAGATCCCTGACTGATAATAAATAGAAGTGGTTTTTCTTCTTTAAGAGGTCTTTAAAACAACACTTTTATTTTTACTGCAGATGTTGTTGAGCAGGTGACTTTCTGGCATTAGCAAGGCCCCACGTGGGATCGTAAATGTTTTCCTGTCGTGCCATGGAAAGGGACATTTTCATTAGACGTTCAACAGTGTGGTACCAACACCCAGGCTGAGCGCAGCTCTGCAGCAGTGCCCCCTAATGGTGATGAGTATCCTGTTTCCCTCTGACTCACCTCCGGAGCTGTTCGCTTGAGTTGATAAGCTTCCTTCAGAGGGACAAATAGATTCCCTAAGAGGAAAGCAAGGTATTATTGAGGCCATCTTTACATGTTTATATCTCCCTCAGAACATTCGATGGCCTTGCCGCGGTGATTGCCACCAAGTGCTATGTCACATAATATCCTCTAGGCTTGACAGGAAGATCTAAGCTTTGAGTTCACGATGAGGCCTCAGGGAGGCCCACGAAATCCCCCGGGTAACTGCTGAGCCCCACTTGGTGGGTGAGGCAGGGTGATGTCTACTGGGTCTCTCCTCCCATTACAGTGCCGTGAAGAACCTTGTCGACAGCAGCGCCTACTTCCGCAGTGTGGAGGGTCTCCTCAAACAGGCCATCAACATCCGGGACCACATGAACGCTGCCGCCCAGGGCCACAGGTAGCCCCTGGGACCACAAGCCCCTGTGCTGTCAGCCTCCTTGCTGTAAGGACCTTCGCCACTCAGCCAGGAACTGCTGCTTATTGCTCCTTGGACGCTAGCTCCCTTTGCTCATCTCATGGTGTCTGTTGGCTCCCTCTTGTGCTTTGGTGTCTGTAGCAGGAGGGGTCAGTCACTCAGTACCCAGTTCCTGAGCTCTGCTATATGCCCGGTCCTGGGCGGGGTGCTGGGGACAGAGAGGTGACCAGGACAGGCATGTTCGTGGTCTCACAGAGAGACACACAGCAGCCAGATACACATGGAACAGACCAGAGCATTTCAGACGTGTGCAAAGGAAAAAAGGGACTATGGGGCCTCCCTGATGAGTTGGAGGGGTTGCAAGCAGAAACCTGAAAGACTTGCCAATGGAAATGACTCGGGATGATATTCCAAATGGGGCAGGGGTAGGGACAAAGGCCCTGGGGCTGGGGAGCCAGGGGTGTTGGAGGAACACCTAGGTGTGGCTGCAGAGGGTGAGCAGGGGGAGATGGGGCCGGGGAGGTGGGCAGCAGGGAGGGCCCCCGGAGCTATAGGAGGCTTTGAGCTGAAGACCAGATGGTCTAAAAGTGAAAAGCACTTAAGTCCTTGCACACTGGGGAGAGAGCTTTGGCGGATGGAGTGCTTCTTGTTTTTATTTTCATTATGACTTAATAAACATGAGTTTGAACATGCACGCACATTCTGTAAGCTGTTAACTCTACCTTGGGATGTGTCTGGCTCCTGCAGTTTAGGGTTCTGGCCTGTCCCCCACCAGGTATTTAAAAAGAAGAAAACCTCTGTTGTTCTGTATGAGAATTAAGACAAGAGAATTATAAAAAATAAAAGCCTTGTCCTGACTGGTGTGGCTCAGTGGGTTGGGCATTGTCCCACAATCGAAAGGTCACTGATTCAATTCCCAGTCAGGGCACATGCTTGGGTTGTGGGCCAGGTCCTGGCTGGGGGCATTGCAAGACTGATCCATAATTTCTCTTGCATATGGATGTTTCTCTGCCTCTCTTTCTCCCTCCTTTCCCCCGCTCTAAAAATAAATAAATCTTTTTTTTTTAAAACCTTGCAAATTTGTAAAAATATATGTACAACAGTTTTCCCTCTGAGGGCAGTGTGCAAAGGTTTATCTGGGTTCATTTGCATTAAATAACTATCTGGCTTTGGCTGCTCTGCTGCAGGTTTCGTGACAGCATCACTAGAGTTGACTCCGTAAAGTGCCTTGCACAGTGCCCTGCGTACAGTAGGGCCTCAAAAAAGCAGTAGCTTTTACTTTGAACTCATGGTTTCCCAAGTGCTTTCCAATGCCCTGCTTGCGCCTGCTGTTGCGCGAATGCAAAGTGCTTCCGAAAGCCCCGAGGGGCTGCTAACACCTCTCTTCGCGAGCCCAGTGGGTTTGAAGCACACAGATGTGCAGGAGTCCCAGCCGTGATCTCTGAAGCTGGTGGCTGGTCCCGTTTTTTACAGAGGATGCCCTGAAGGCTCAGGCCAGGGGTCTTGGGAGGGTGACCTGAACGCACACTCCAGCCTAGTTGAGCAGGCCTGATGGCCTCTGACCTCAGCTTCATGGCCTGACTTTGGCCTCATGGATATTGCACATGTTCTATTCCAGCCCCAAGGAGTTGCCTCCGCCCTCCTCAGCCTGATCCCGGAAGAGACTCTGAGGGCTTTGGCCCCTCCAGCCAGGTCAGTGCTGAATGAAGCAGGGCCTTCCTGTACTCCATGCTCTGAACTAACCCACCCTTCAGTTGTCTAAGAAGAGGCCCGCCATCTAATCACTCAGGCTTGTCGGACGGTTTGGTCAGTGGGAGGATGCAGGGTTGGGGGGACCTCGTGCCCTCTGCTGCTCAGGGCGATTGTCCGCCCATCTCCCTCATGCTCTCTTTGCCATCTGCCTGTCCCTTATTCAGGCCGTCGGCCTTATCCCAATCCCAAGGAGTCCTCCAAGGCAGAGAGGGCACCCCACATTTCCCTGCCCTGCCGTATGCCAGCTGCTTGCTTAACTTACACACCTTCTCTCAGGCAGAGCCCGGCACGGCGGCTACCACCCAGCTCTGAGCGCCTCACTCCACTGCTGACCTGTGTGACCCTGAGCAAGTTCTTCCCCTCTCTGGCCTCTGCTTTTCCCCTCTGTGGAAGTGACTCAGCAGGTGGCAGAGAGGGCGCTGCTGCATACGGTGATGTGTAGTGTAGCAGTCAGCTGCTGCGTGACAAACTAACCCAGAATTTAGTGGCTTACAGCACCAATCTAATTGTTCACGATTCTCTGATTTGGGCTGGGCTCAGCTGGGGGCCGTTCGTGTGGCACTTGTCAGAGCTCTGTGGGGCCGATAGTCAGAGGTGGCCTCACACATCCGACCCGTGACTGGTGCTGTTGGCTGCAGGGGGTCCAGTTCTCAACTGTGATGTGGCCACTCCAGCAGGCCAGCCTTGACTTCTGGTGCCTGGGCACCAGGAGGGCAGCCCCGGTGCACACGGGCACATCCAGCCTCTACTTGCTTCACGTTTGCAGATGTTCCGTTGGCCAAGGCCAGCCGTGTGGCCAGGCTCAGAGCTGGATGGTAGAGCACTGCAGGAGGGCATCAATACTGGGGGGCCTGGTTGACCGTGGGAGGAGAGCGTGGCTCCAAGACAGGCCTGCTATACTGTTATTTTGTGCCCATGCAGGACAGACCCTGGCCAACCAGAGGCACCCGAGGTTCTTACTGAGCCCCTGGCTTGTGAAGCTCCCGGAGCCTCTGCCCATCTGTTGAGATGGCGCTCTGTGCCATGGGGGCCCTCCCTGGGGGTTGTGGGTGCATGGCGGGGCACCCCACGGCCCCTGGGGCAGCAGTCCTCAGAGCCAGGAGGCAGCAGAGTTCACACATGTGCAGTCAGAGCACCAGCCAAGTGCCAGGCTCAGCTCCGGGCCTGGGGGTGGTGAGCAACTCTGACCAGAGTTGGGCCCTTGGGCACAACCTTGTGGGACCTACCAGGGACCAAAGACTGGGCCGGTGTGGCCAGCGTAGTCCTCCCGCTCCTGCCCCAGCCTTCCGAGACGAGATTTTGTTGCCCTTGGACTCGTACCCTGCAGTAGCCACATCCCCTCAGACCAATAACTGCCCCGTGTTAATCCCCAGCGATCACACTGTGCTCGGGGATCTGCCACAGTCATCCTTCATCTTTAAACAGCCCTAGAAGGCAAGTGTTGCCCTCGAATACAGATGGGAATAGAGGCTCGAGAGTTGGTGTGACTTGTACAGGGCCTCACAGCTAGAGATGCAGCCCCCTGCCTGGTTTGGTCCCAGTCTGCCTCTGACATGCTGTGTGACATGGGGCCTAGCACGGACCCTCTCTGGTCTTCCCTTTCTCCAACTGGACAAGGAAGATTGGACTGGACCTTTTGGGAGGCTGAGGTGGACAGTCACGTACCTGCCTGCCTGGTCTGCATTTTGCCCCAAGAAGAAAACCCACCCTGGGCTTAGGCCTTATGGAGAAGCTACCATGGGGCCCAGCTGTACCTGATACTAATGCCTAAATTACTGTATTTGCTAAAATTGCTTTGAGCCTGTGTCTTTTGACTACAGAAGAGCCCACTCTGATCCCTTCGAATCCTAGGCCTGAGAAGTCATGACCCATGGTCTCTACACCTCCAAGACCCGCTGTGTGCCAACACTGTCTGGTAAAATGTGTCAAGAAGATCAGAATGGAGTCGTTTGGGGTCCCAGGCCCACTACTCTGGGAGGATCCCCCGTATTTTCTTTGGCACTGTGGGTGTCTGAGAGAGAAGAGTGACAAGGGCCAGGGAAAACCTAGGGGAGAGACAGAGGGTTCTGGTGGAGTAGCAGGGCTGTGGAGGACCCTGAGGGCTTGGGAGAGGGTTTAAGGACCAGGAGGTGTCAAGGAAGGACCGCCTCCTGCTGCCAGGAAACAGGAGTCAGTCCTCTCTTTCCCCTCCTAGGGTGTGTTGGGGGGCCTCTGTGCTGCTACTCTGCCTCCCCACTGCCCCAGCTCAGTTTGAGGTCCATCCCATTGATGGCCCCTACAGAGTCACTCTTCTCACCTGCTCTGAAAGCACCTCACATTGTCTCTCCTTCCACCTGTCCAGCATGCAGTCATTTATCCAGAAAGTACTGACTGCCCTCTGTGTGCCAGGCCCTGCATCCTCAGGGGATGCTCTGGTGAGCAAGACAGGCCAGCCCTGGCCCCAGGGCTCAGATCTGCAGGACAGAAAGGCAGCTAAGTGAGGTAACTGCACATATCCCAAGGGCACTGTGACGTAGTAGGGGGCAGCTGTGGGGTGCCCCAGACCTTTCTGAGGTTCCCCTCCCACAGCTCCTGGATGCAACCTCAGCCAGAGACTAATAGTCTTCTTAAAGACTTCTGTGCAGGACTCTGGCTGGTCAGATCTCCCACACTGAGTCCAAGAACCCATAGGGGAAAGGGGAGAAGCCTAGTAATTTTCAAGACCTACTTGCCCTTCGCACTCGCAAACGCCCCATCCTAGCCGGCCGCCAGGGGGCGCAAGAGGCAAAGGCTTGGCCAAGCACTCGGCTTCCAAAGGGTCCTGCATGGTCCGAAGTTCTGGCTGATTGCGGTGAAGGCATTGTGGCCCTTACCCCTTTTTCTCCCCATATGTCCTCAATTCCATTTTTCAGAGAGCAAACTGAGTCTCCTTGAGGCTGGGCTACTCATCAGGATCTTGCATCCACCCCCATGCGTTCTAGACAGGCGCTGGAGGTCTCCCTCCGAGGAGGGTAAGACATTCCTGCTCAGTAGGGCTTGCTCCCAGCAAAGCCCCGGGGATAGGAGGGCAGCTGGGAAAGAGGCAGTGAGCTCCCTGTGCCTCGGGGCAGGGGCCTAGCATCCATGAGCGTGAGGGTGATCTGGAAGGGATCCCAGCCCTGGTGAAGTGTGGCTTCTCCACCCACTCCCACTCTTGCCCCACCCAAGTCTCCTTTAGATCTATGGACAGGGTGAGAGGAGGCCCAGGAGGGCAGCAATGGCCCAGCTTGGTCAAGGTGGTCAAGGTGGGAATCAGACTTGAGTTTGGCTTTTGGTCCTTATCCCCTAATCCAAGTCGTGGTTTTATTCCAGTCCTGCTCTGAGGGTCCTGCCCCTGGCAAAGCCTCTTCCTAGTTCTGCCATATCCTCCAGTGAGGCCTCTGGATGCCCTAAACTTGATCCCAATGCCACTCCATCACTCATACCCTCTCCCAGGCTCTCCAGTTGTGCAAGAAACCCATGGAGACGCCCCTTTGGTGCTGCCACCCACTGGGCTTGGCCCCAAGGAACCCCCAGGCTGGGGGAAACAGCTGCACACGGACATCCCCAAACCCCTGGGTCAGCGCTGGACTGGGGGTGGAAAAACTCCAAGGGGGAGAGAGAAAGAGAAGGCTTTTGGAGAAGGAGACATTAAAGGTGGACCTTAAAAGGCTCCCCTCCAGAAGGAGAGGCTGCTATTGTCCCCACTTTTCATATGAACAAATGGGCTAGAGAGGTGAAGGGGCTGGCCTGACGTCACACAGCAAGTGGGTGTGGGAGCTGAGATTGGGACCCAGGGTCCTTTAACTGAAGGCCCTACCTGCTGGACCACACTGTCCTTGCCATGGAGAGTCTTTCAAAGCCTTCCTCTGCTGACATTAGGGGAGAGGATCTGGAAGAAAGGGATGTAGGAGGGGGCAGCTTCATCACACCAGCCTCCCGCCCCTGTCTCCCCCATCTTCAGATGCCTCCTCTCTGACCCTCTCCACCCCTTTCTTCCCACCACCCTCCCCTCCACCCTCAAACATCTTACTCTAGCAACTAAGGTGTCTCCTTATCTGAGAAGACTGAGGTCAAGAATCTTGACTGCCCCAGTGGGGGACAGCGGTCCACAAAGAGTGACACAGCCAGTGATGGGGAGAGTACAGGAGGAGAGGAGAGGATTGGAACAGAGGCAAGGGGGACGAGGAGGGGCCATTACAGAAAACAGGATGCGAATGATAGAAGATGGAATGGGGGTGCAGGAACAGAGGAGGGAGCCCCAGTAATGGGAGGGGGCAAGAGGTGGGTCCGCCCTTCCCACCATGCCCCTGCTGCTCCCAGAGCTGCTCCAGTCACTGCTCTTATGTAACCAGAGCCTGCCTGTTGCATCAGAGGCAGCAGGCTGCTGCACGTAAACAGAGTGGCCCTCGGGGGCCCTGGGGCTCCCCAGCCACCTCCACACTCCCCAAGCCTTGTTCTGAACCTTGGAGTCAAAGCAGACGCCCCCCAGACTGGCCTGGGCCCTCGTGTGTCCTTGGGGTACCTGAGTATCTGGCACTGGACGCTGAGGTGCAGTGGCGGCAGGGGTGGGGGAGGCAAAACCCCTGGTCCCCACCTTATGGCACAGTGTGAATCCTGGGTTTATGTCCAAGCAAAAGTGTGCCCAGGCTAGGAGTTCAAACTGCCCTTGTCATAGACGGGTAAACCGAGCCATGGGAAGACGCACAAGCCTGTTCCTTGCCTTAGTGTCCCCACACATGATATCTCCTGAATCACACACATGCTCACCCCTGAATGCAGGGGTACAGCCATCTCCTGTTGTCTACTGAGAAGGGGAACACCAGGCAGCCATGTAGCCCACCTGTACCCCACCTTCATCTACCCCAAGTTGACCGACTCCTCACCATCTCCCAGCCTTTCCTTGGGCTCCCAGCCCTGTCTACTCCTGCTTTGGCTTCTTCTCCCTCACCTCTCCCACCAAAGAACACTGCATTCTTCCTCTGCACCCTTGCAAGGGCTGGCCCCCTTGGAAAACCCTTTTTCCAGTGGCAAACTCCTACTCAGGCGTCAGGGCCCAGCACAAATTGTCCCCTTTTCTGGGGAGCCCTTTCTGACATCTCTGGCCCAGTCCTGACCCCCCAGGGGCTAGAGGAGTCTGTGGCAGCTGCTGCTCTGCCTCCTCCAAACTGGGGGCTTCTCCAGGGTTACCCAGTCCAACATTAACTCCATCCTGTAATTCTTTTCCCATTGATTCACTCACCTCTGACACCCCTCTGGACTTGGCTGGGTAGTGCTGGGGTCCCAGGGAAGTTGGGGACCTAGAGGTATGGGCGGGGGCCCAGTCCTGGAAGCCCCCATCTGCTGACCTTTGAAATGGAGGCGGGTGCCCAGCAGTCGAGGGGCTGACACCCTTCTGTAGATGGACGAGGTCGCACATGATAACTCCAAAACCCCTTTCTGCTGTCCCTTCTTTTGGGTGAGAGTAATGGTCAGTGTTGGCTTTGAGAAGAGCTGGGTCTCTGAGGCCACCAGGGACAGATTTATATTTCACTCAGGATGGAGTAAGTCTAGTGTTGGGGTTGGCTGTGATTAAAGACAGGGTCCAAATTAGGGGCAGGGTCACAGTAGGGTCAGGGGAGGCCAGTGCAGGCGGGGAAAGTCTGGTGAGCCTGATCCATCCCCTTCCTCGTCCCTCTCCGTCGTTAGACGGGTCTCCGCCTCTTTCCAAGTCTGCGTCCCGAGTCGCGAGGCGGAGCCACGCCCAAGTGCCCGCCCTATATGCAAATGAGGTCATCCCGTCCAATCAGCTCCCGGGGGCAGGGCCGCGGCTTTGAAGGCACCTGTGGCCGCGGAGCACCGGGCATTCTGTGCGGCTGCTGCAGTTCCGTGCGTTCGTCCGAAGGTCCAGGTGGACGGAGCAGGTGTGTGTGGCGTCGGGGTGAGGCTCGGGCGGTATCCTTTGAATGTCATCTGTGGGCTGGGCTGCGTTTGGAGGTCTGAGTGTGCTGCTGTACGTCGAAAGTTGTATGTCTCAGTGGCGTGTGTCCTAGGATTGTGAGTCCGAAGAGTTGTGTGTCCAAAGGATGTGAGTCTGAGGGATGTGAGCCTGAAGGGCAGGGTATGTCGGAGGGGCTGTGAGTCCTAGGGTTGTGTTTCTGAAAGGTTATATGTCCAAGGAGTATGTGTCTGAGGGTTTCGATGTCAGGGGGCGAGGAGCTGTGTGTCCAAAGTTGGGGTGCCAGACCCCCTGTTATACGTCTGTGATCTGCGTGTCTGGTCTGTGGGCTGCACTGTCCTTCTCTGCTGAAGAACACCCCTTTTTATACTCTTGAGGCTCTTGTGCACAACCCCATGCCTTCCTGCTGTGGGTATACCCTCATGTGTCGTGGCCCCAGACCCGCATGTGGAGTGACCATGTCTGTGTGCCTTTGACTACTATGACCCTCACCTGCCCCATGGGGTCTATGCCTCCCGCAACAAAAGTGGGGCCTCTGCTGGCCCCACAGGGTGCCCATGTGGTAGGCACAGAGCCCGAGGGTGGTGGGTCACAGCGGCCTTGAAGGGGGGCTACCACTTTCTCTGTGCCTCTGTGTCCCCATCTGGGACATGGGTGTAGGAACAATGCTCAGCACCTGACAAACTGGCGGCTCTTACTTTCACAATAATGGCTCCCCTCTCTCCCCCTTTCTCGGAGTCCAGGGCCGCAGGTGTTGGGCAGCAACTGGGGTCCCTGGCCATCCCAGTGCCCAGCTGCAGACTTGAGAAGTCAGAATTAGCCAAGGCCTCCTGCCTAGCCTGACTGAGAAATCCTCACTGGGGAATGTCAGGACCTCTGGACCTATGGCATCTGGGTACAAGAACTCTCAGACTCTTGGGGTAAAGGAACTAGGTTCCAAAAAGTACTGAGACTTGGAAAGACGGGTGTGTGGAGTTGGAAGTCAGCCTCGCCCTCTCCTGTCCCATGCCTGCCTCCTACCAACTGTCTGAGCTGAGGAGTGAATCTTGGCTCACAGGGAATGACATCGCTGGGTATACAGGGCCCCGGGGTCTCACCTAG